AGGCTCCCTGCTCAGCGGGAAGCATGCTTCTCCTTCTCCCCCCGCCCCGCCCACTTGTGTTCCCTCTCTTGCTATGTCTCTGTCAAATAAATAAATAAAATCTTAAAAAAAACCAAAACAACCTGCATTAGGATTTAACTCACTTGGACTTAAAGATTGCCCTCTGTTGAAATGTAAATCTCCACTTTTCCCTGAAAGAGTCAGTCCATCACACCCTAGTATGAATTAATGGATTGGTGGGACTGGGACAGAGCAGAACAGAGAAGAGCCTCAGCTGACAAAGAAAGCTGAGGGCCTGTCCCTGGGGTTGCCAGGGGACTCCCTGAAGGACGGTGCCAGGCAGAGGCTGCAGGAGGGAGCCTTCCTGACCCCACAGTGGGACAGCAGAGTGTGAGCTTGGCAGGTTTTGGCCAGTGTGGACAGTGTGGAAGCCAGGAGTGGGTGGGGGCACGAAAAGGGGGTTCTGTACCTGCCTCTGGCCCTGGCTACCGGCCTGCAGCCAACCTCCCGCCTGCCAGGGGGCTTCCCTCTAGGGGTTGGAAGAAGGCAGTGCCCTTGGTCAAGGGGTGGAGGAGACTGCAGGGGTCCTCCTGCTCCCCTGCGGCCCTGGGCCATCCTCTCCTGGCCCAGCCCTCCAGCCCTCCCTCTAGGCCTCCTCCCTCCCCCTTGCCACAACCCTTCACTTGGGGCAGGCAGATAAAAGGCAGGAGCCCTGTTATCTGGATTTCAGATTCTCAACAAACAATGTTTTCATGGTGGGTAGAGTTCTTTGTTGCGAATCTGAAATTCAAATTGCATCTGGCAACCCTCCTTGTCCTTCTCAGGGACACAGTGGCGGAGGGGATGCAGGGGAGGGCTCGGCAATGAGGAGACACCCAGCTCCGTGGAAAGGACTGGGTGGTTGGGTGGGGGGGCTGGAGGGGTGTCAGCCGGTGGCCTGGACCCCTGATGTGCTCCCTGGAGTACCCTGCGTGGGGCTGAAGTGAACAAGCTTAAGACATGCAGGGCAGGCCAGTGGTGATCCTGCTGCCCTGGGCCTTTCTGTCCCCACTGCACAGATGAGGGAACCCGGGCTGGGGGTGGGGGTAACACAACTCCTCCCCTCCACCTCCAGTAGGGGCTGCACGTACTCCCAGGGCTGAGTGTCACGGGTCCAGTGACGGACCACGGCCCTGGGGGAAATACTGGCACCCATCAATTGTTGGCAAAGACTTTCTCTTTCGGGAACCAATGATTGTAAGCCGGAGACACCCAAGCACCCTGTCTGTGGCCCCTGTGGCCCCCAGGCAGCCCTGGCTGTGCCCTGTGAGTCTGGGGGCCTGTGGATTGTGGGATCATGAGGTATGTGTGGTCAAATTCACTGTGACTCCCCAGAGCCCGTGTGGCACTGCAGACACGGGGCCAGGGGGCCTGGGAAGCCCCCGCCCCCGTCCCATCAGCTTTCTCCATACAGCCCTTTCAGAAGCAGCCTTGCGTGGCGCTGGCTGTCCGAGGCCACGTGGCAGTAATGAGACTACGAATGCGTGGGCAGCGGACCGGGGTGTGCCCCGAGGGCCCCCTGCATGGACCCATTTACCCTCACAGTGCGCGTGCATGTGTCCTGGATTCGGGAAGGACATTCGCTGCAGAAGCCTGACGCGAAGGGGTGTGCGGGCTGCAAACTGATCCATTATGTGTTCTCTTAATCTTATGTGTGTCTGCTTTCAACGAGCATTTATGAGGTGTGCCAGGCACGGTGGCAGTCCCGGGTACACAGAGGGGACAACACAGGCCTGATCCCGCGGTCTCCACGGAGTTCATCCGAGAACAGCGGCTTCCCCAGAGTTCTGTTTTTCGTTCCCTTTTGAGGTTGTTGTAGATCCACACGCAACTGTAGAAACAACAGAGAGGTCGCACGTGCCCTTCAGCCAGTTTCTGCGTGGGCGCCGCGCAGAGCGGCCGGGCGGGGCCCCACCAGGACGTGGGCATCGCTGCAGTCCAGACTCCTGGGTCAGCTGCACTCGCGTGCGTGTGAGTGTGCAACGGCACGTGGGGGGTGGGGCTAGTTAATTCTGTTATTGTGGTCAAATACACATAAAACGGGCCCTTTCACCCATTTCTGAGTGTGCGGCTTGGGGACGCCAAGCACACTTGTGCCGTGCACACGTCACTGCCATCCAGCTGCTCTTCTCCATTTTCCCGAACTGAAGTCCGTCACCCGCTGCACGCTCCGTCCTTTGAGATTGTGCCACCTGTGCAGATTCGTGTGCTCACAGCTGAGGCAGGACAGCTGTCACCGGGGCCCCGCGCCAGCCCCAGCACCAGCGGCCCGGCCCCACCTCCACGGGGCTTCCGGAGTGCCGTCGAAGTGCAACCCTGCACGTGGCTCCGGGTGGAGGGCGCAGCGTCCAGGTCGCCTGCCTGTGTCGCTGAGCAGAACTCTCCACTCGGCAGTCTTTGACCACGGGCCCCAACACGCGCACGCGTGTTTACCTGAACCAACGCCCGCCCGGCATCTGTGCCCTCACGCCTCTGGGCGCTGCGCTGGCCCGCCCGTGACACGCGGCCCAGACCAAAGACATGTCTGTTGTCAAGGAAGCTACGTGCGGGCAGGGATGGCCGCACGACGCCAGGCGGCCACACGAGCGGAGACGCACTGGCAAGGCCCACGGTGTGGAAGGGCTGGCTTTGGTCGGGTGGATGGGAAGGCCTCCCCGGCCTCGTGGAGGACGTTTACCTGGGGAAGGGCACTGGGATCCCGGGCAGCAGCGCAATAACCAGCATCCTCGGTGTTCTCAGTGTGGCCCGGCCAGGGGAGAATGGGGGCTTTGCTCCGAGGGACAGGGTGGCCCAGTGGGGGTGGAGGGAGGATCTGTGATGTGCGGGGAAGAGGAGGGAACCCAAGCACCTTATGAAACATACAAAACGTCAGAATTAAGACGGGCACTCTAACTGGCACCCCCCCCCCCACTCACATACACTGGAACCTCGGGATAGGACTGTATTTGGAAATAGGGTCTTTGCAGATGGAATTACAGATCTCAAAATGAGGTCATCCTGGCTTAGCGTGGGCCTTAAGTCCAATGACTGGTGTCCTTTCAAAATGAGGGGACACAGAGGAGGAACCACGGGACCACGGAGGCAGACCAGAGGGATCCTGGCCTGGGACCACCGGAAGCCAGGAGGATTTGACCCTAGGCCTCCAGAGCTGGGACACAATGAGATTCTGTTGTTTTAAGCCCCCAGTGTGTGGCCTTCATCATGGCAACCTGAGTACATGAACACAGATTTGATAAAACTCCACTCTAAAGCTGATCACTAACTCCGCCCACGGTGCCCCCAGCCCGTTCCCGAGATGGCGCCAAAGAGATCAGCGTCTCAAGGCACCTGGACGGAGAAGGCCTGCGGAGGGCTCACTCTGCGCCTAAGCGACACACCAGTGCGCACTCCCTCCCACAAGCACTCCACATTCCCGGCGAGAAGCAGCCAGCGTGTGGCTCAGACCCGTGGATAGGCGCTGTGGGTGGCTTGTTTTTGCCTCAGTGGCGCCCATTGCCCGCCAGCACACCAGCTGGGGCTTGGTCACATGCAGGGCCCTGGTGGGGTCGAGGGGGCCCAGTCCCCACATTCTGCAGGTCAGCCCAGGCTGACGGCAGGGACAGACCCCAACTCTCACAAGACATGGCAGGCCGGGCAGCAGAGCTGGGGTCCTCTGCGGTCACATAACCGTGTCGTCTGGCCTTCTGCTTGCTGCCATATTGACACGTGCTTTCCGCATTCGGTTTCCAGCTCAGGGTGGGCGGCGCGCCCGTTTTCCCAGGGCTTGACTGCACCGGGAAACAGGGGTGTCCATCTGCTCCTACCAGGAGCCCTACCAGCACGCTAGGAAAGGCACAAGGAGGGGCTGAGCCTCTACAAAGACAAAGGGAGGCCAGCAGGCCAGGGCCAACCTCTAGGGTGGGGTGGGGACAGGGCTGAGGGCAGGGCTGGTAAAGGCACCCCAGGCACCCCCTGCACCCTCAGGAGCTGTGCAGGAGCCTGGAGGCTTGTTCTCTGGAGCAAGTGGATGCAGGAGCTCTGGAAATGGGGGTGCCAGGCCTTAGGGCTAAAAATGGGGGAATGTGGGAAATGCTCCATCCTGCAGCTCAGGCCCCCATCCTCAGACCTGCTTCCAGAAAGGCCATGAGGAACCAGGTGACAGCCGCCTTGACAGGGAGGTAAAGCAAGGGGGAGACACTGGGGGGAAGCCTGCACGGGCCACGTGGGCATGGGAGACTGGAGGGCACAGGGGAGGAAATGCCCACCAGAGCTGGAGTGTCTGCAAGATGGAACCGATAGGGAGGGACAGATGTTGGGACAGAAACAAATATCCAGGGGTGGAGAGAAAACGAGGCAAGTAGACCAGGGTAGAGGTCAGCTCCAAGAAAGGTGAGGGGCTGGACACCTGCTCTGCCAGCCTGACGTGTGGGTCCCTGATGACCGGCGTGGTGGCGAGAGAGCAGAGTCCCTGATCCACGGGGTGGTGTCAACAGGTGGTGCCCCAAACTGATGCATGAAGCAAGGGCTGAACAGCGTGGAGGCCCGGGTGGCACCTGGGGACACGGCTGGAAGCAGTGGCCCTGATGGGGCTGGGATGGGAGGAGGGGCAGCACCTGGGCCTCCGCCGCTCAGTCTTCCCGCCAACCACGCACTTTTTACTGAAAGAAACTTAACGTGTACACATCAGACACTGCTCCTTTGTTCATTCCAGAAATATTTACCAGCGCCTCTGCTGGGTCAGGTCCTGAGGCTGCCGGGGGCACAGGCGAATGCAGGACAGACACAGGGCGGCCCCCAGTGTCGCCCCTGCACGCAGCACCAGCCACTGGCGCGGGCCCAGCCGGAGATGAAAGGCCACAATAATTAACACGGTTCTATGGAATCCTTTGTGGTGGCCCCAGAGAGAGCAAAGAGATTGCAAAACCCATCTCTGGTTTCCAAAACACAAGGACCTTGGAAATTATAAGACATTAAAATAAAGCTTCAGGCAAAGGACTCTTGTTCTAGTTGCAGATTTGACGGTAGATCAAAACAGAATTGCTCCTGAAAGCTCAGGCTCAAGCTTACTGTCTGAGGCAGGCCCAGCCCCCAGCACCCCGGCAGCCAGCGGCTAGGGCCCCAGGGCGAATCCACAAAGGGCCCAGGGCCCCTTCCCCTGATCACCCCTGGTCCCCAACCACTTCATCCCTTAAGGGCCCCTGGGGACATGTCCGAAGTCTCAGACCTTATGTGGGGGCACAAGTCTGTGCCCTCAGTTAATAAGCCGCAGCTGCTGGGAGTCAGAAAGTGCGCGGCCCCGGGTCGGATATTGGGTGCATTCAGTCGTGAAGCAAACAACAGGGGAGGCGTCGCCCCTACTGCATTTCTCCGACGGGGGCATTTGAGAAGAGCCTTGTGGCTGTGAACGCTACCTGTCCCCACACCCTCATGTCCCCTCCGTAGGACGGGACCATGGCTAGCTCTGGAGGTGACAGTGTCAGGGATCCTGAGTCTATGCCTCCTGCTCGGGGTCCCATGTGCAGGTTCGGATTTGGCTCACCCAAGTCGGGTGGCTCAGCTGCATCTGATGGCCGCGGGGTCCTTGCCCATCAGGAGCGCTGATGAAGGGTGGGGAGCCCAGCTCAGCCTGTTAGTACACTGGCGGGTGCGGGAGGCCCTGGGGAGCAGGCCGCCGAGAGGCACGCACGTCCAAGGTCCTGGCCCGAGGCCCTGGCCCGGGTGCTGGGGGGTGAGCGCCAGGGACGGCAGAAGGCAAAGCAGCAACACCGCCAATTCTTCCAGGCTACTTTCTCATCTCCGCCCAGAGCCGGTGACGTTCCGAGTCGGTCATCCTCGGGGGGCAGCCTGGCAGCTACCACCTGAGCTCGGGGGCCACGTGCCGGCCGTGGAGCTCCTGCAGGCGCAGCAGCAGCTCCTCCAAGTTCTCCCGGGTTGTGGCCGACAGGGCGACGACGCTCCGGCCCAGGCGGGCCTGCAGCTGGGGCAGAGCGGCTCTGGCCTGAGGGAGGTCGATCTTATTCGCCACGACCACATGGGGTCGCTCGGACAGGCCGGCTTCGTACTTCTCCAGCTCGAACTTCAGGTCCTCCACCTGAGTCCACGGTTCCGGCTCCGAAAGATCCACGACGAACAAGAGGAAACGGCAGCGTTCGATGTGCCTGAGGAAGGTGCTCCCCAGGCCCCGGTTCTGGTGCGCACCCCGGATGATGCCTGGGATGTCGGCCACTGCAGGGGAGACAGAGCGGAGGGGCTGGGAGGGCAGGCCTGGCTCCCTGTGGGCCCCGAGTGCCGAGCTTCGAGGCTCGCAAGGAGCACCTTGAAAGGGACGCCGTCAGGCCACCCGCCAGCCCAGGCACTTCTGCCCTCAGCTTGGCAGAGGCTCTGAAGGATGTGGGTGACAGGCTTGCTGGCCGGCCGGCCTAATAAGGAATATTTAACACAGGCTGGCCTCTGGCTTTAAAAATGGTTCAGGAAAGGGGAAAGTGGTTTCCTGTAAACTTAAGAACTGGCTTAACTGATGGAAATTATTACAGAGTACTTTGCAAATATAAAGCGCTATGAGAGTAGCATCAGCAGCAGGCTTACTATTTTTAATGGGTACATTATCTTCTGGGAAAAAGTTTTCTTCTCTCAAAATGGTACAGGGAAGCTTTTCAAGTCACATGTCGTCTCCAGGACGGAGGCCGGGAGCGGGAGAAGACCAGAGGAGGCAGGACCTCCTCTGGTTTGAAACTGACGGTTCCTGAACCCAGCCAAGAGAGGCCTGGGGATGGGGTGGGAAGCGAGTCTAGAACCTAATTTTCATACAGAACTACAACGCTCCATTTTGGGTGGGAAGCTCTTCAACAGTTACATAATTCCTATTCTGACGCCATCTCAGGACAACTTTGGAGAGAATCATGGAAGTTCTACCTGCTATTTGCTGGTGGTCCTCACAATGAACAATCCCCACGTGGGGCTTTAAGGTGGTGAACGGGTAGGAAGCCACAGCAGGTCTCGCATTCGAAATGGCCCGGAGAAGCGAGGACTTCCCTGCATTGGGGAACCCAACCTGGAGGAAAGGTAAACACACCTTGCCACCTCGGAGCGCCTGGGCCTGGCCGAGGTCAGGGAGCAGGGACGCATGAGAGCGTGGGCTCCTAAGTGCACACACAGGGGCCTCCCTGGGAGGAACGGGGCCGCTAAGCTGTGGCTCACATCCAGGCTGGAGGCACGCTTCGGCATCAGGGCTGGATTTTCTATAGCTCTGCCCTAAAAATGCCACCTCCTTCCTCCCCCCGCCAGATGATACCCACCATCCCAGCGTGGGCCACCGTCTTGAGCTCCAGGAAGAGGATGCGTTCCTGACCGGGCTGTCCGGGGGTGCAAGTCACGGGTGCACGGTTATCATTGGCCAGGAAAAAGCGGTTACCTTTTCCTCCTGCCCCGCCCAGAGCAGCGATGTACTCACTGCCCGGGCACGATAGGTCAGCCACGACTTCCCTTCCCTCCTTCACTAATGTGCCCACGGGAACCTGAAAATAATAAAGGGCTTACAGCAGAGCAGACACGTGGAGTGGAGTGGACCCAGAGCTTATATCCGCATTTGGAAGGGCACGGAGCAGAGGGGAGGGGGCACCACCAGGCTCCCCCTTCGTAGAGCTACGAAGCACCAGGAAAAAGGTCCTGGCCTTCAGAGGGACTTTATGGGGCTGTGACACTCCCTGCAAACTGCATAAATGGCTTTTCCAAATAGTGTTTCTCAAACATTAGGGTGGATGAAAGCATTTGGAAAACACTTGGGATAGTCTGAGAGGAGTAGAGTCTCCACTCCCAGAGATGCCCTGGGAGGGTTAGGACAGAGGGACAGTGGGCCCCTGGGGTCCCACTTTTTAAATACAATTATTTCATGATTTTTGAACAGGTCATACACGTACGCGAGATAAAATGAGCACCAAGTGTCACCCTGGGGCTTTGCTTCACGGAGGGCGGATGCGTGGCCAAGCCGGGCCCCCGCTCCCCGCGAAGCAGGCAGGGGTGGGCTCTGCAGCCGTCAGCTCACCCGGATGTAGAGGAGGGCGCCACCGCGCCCGGAGCAGTTCTTCCTGCCGCCGGCCTCTCCGTGGGAACCCTGGTACCGCGACAGCACCGAGGACAGCGACTTGACTTGCTGGTCAGCTGCGAGTTAGAGCAAGGACCTTCACCCTCCTTGGGTGAAAAGCAGAACTGTCTGTGCACTGTCCGTTTAAGGACATGGGGAACGCACAGGGAAACGTGGCATGAAGTCACGGCACAAGTGACCCAACTGGCAATGTGATTTTTTAGAAAGCAAAGTTCTCATTTTCTTTAAGAAAATACAATTTCTGAAAAAGTCAAACCCACAATGCCATCACCAATGTAACAACAGTTCTACTTTATCGTGTTGTGACTGTTGACTACGTTTGCCGGTTTACCTAGCACTCGCACCCCAAGTGTTCAATGTGATCAACAGCCTCCCAGGGCCCATGGGGAGAGTAACACGGACCCTGCCCTTTGCACACCGGCCTAGAACGCTAGAGTCCCTGAGCGTAAACGAGCTTTGTGTTCCTGAAATTTAACAAAACCCACCAATGAAGTTGGTTTAGGGGCGTTATTTAAATGTGAACATCCGTATAATTTAATAAAAATGATGTCCATCCATCGATTTTTGAATTCAAATTCCCATGAGGATGAGAAGAGGGAAAGTCCCGCCCCAAAGGCGAGCAGACAAGCGCTCCTCCCCCAGCTGCCCCTTGCAGCACGTGCCTCTCAGGACGACGTGGCCACCGTTGCCTCCGTCACCACCGTCTGGGCCTCCGAACTCCTTCCGGGGCTCACTGTGGAAGCAGCTCACCCCGTCGCCTCCACGGCCCCCGCGGACGAGCACTCGGCGATGGTCCACAAAATGTCTCTTCTGCAGAGAGCACAGCGAGCCCGGTCATTACCCACCTGCAGTCCTTTCAGGGACCAAGCAGCCATGTGAAATGTACCTTTTTTATCTAGTGATATTAAATTGCTAATCTCGCCCTACAGCTGTAAGAAAGAGTACCCACAAGTCACTAATATTTGTAGGCAAACGTCAGTCAACAAACTGGAAGTGAAAAGTGGTCAGTGTGGAACACACGCTTGGATAAGAAAGGCAACCTAAAGAAAACAGGAGCTGTTCAGTAAACGCTCCTTAAATAAAGCATCTTTCCATCTTTTCTCAAATAGAAACACGTTACTGAAACACCAGGTCTTTGCTCCTGGAAAGACACAATAATGAATGGGAGTCCTCGGTGGGCTATGAGGCTTCCGACTCAGGAAGTGACCGAAGAGGGCCGTGTTCACCACAGCAATGCAGACAGACCCCTGGTCTCAGAGGAAGTTTCTCTCTGGGCCCCTCAGGGAGGCATACGGTAGCTACAGAATGAGGACTGACTAACTAGGTTCACATTTAATAAACTGAGCTCATCCTACAAGGTCAGCTCTCTAAGGCGCTGGGGTTTCAGGGGCCGGGGTTCGACCGCTAGCGAGGAGCCCACCCGCCTGCTGCATGTGTGGGCACGGACAGCCCCTCTGCCAGGACCCAGCGCGTCTGCATTTCTAACCATTACTCCATAAGCAGATCTTTTTTTTTTTTTTTAAATACACAAGTACTTTAAGATTCTCTGGCACCACCACATGGAAAAACCATGAATTACCATTTCAAAAACTCAGTGTCTAATTTTGCTACAGGCCAACCTCATCGACATCAACCTGATGGGGAGAAAAGCACAACTGGTGAGCATTCTAGGGGAGGAAAACTTGGATTGAATTTTTACTGTCTGGGGGAGAGACAAGACCCCCATGGAACGTTAAGCCACGTGGCCGGCAAAAACCGCCACTGTGAGCAGTGAGGTGCCCACAGGGAGACATTGTTTGCCCTGATAATGCTTAGCTGGACACCCCTCCCCCCCATTTAGGAGAAAGTGAAGTGGGTCACATACACTTATTTTCTTGAATTTAATCAAAGATCATTCATGTTTTCAATACAAGGTTTTGATAAACAGAACAAAAACAGGGTAAGGCTTAAAGAACTATGAAACTAAAGGCCTAGCCCTCCCTTCCCCGGATGTTTTAAATTAAGAAATATTCATACATACTTAAGAATGTACCTGGCACCCACGTCAGACACGTGGGCAAGTGATAAAGAAGCGTGCATGCGCCCGTCCCAGCTGAAGGGAAGGAACATGGCTGGTGTCTCTGGAGCCCCCGGTGCCCTCCCTGGTCTTTGCAGGGTTCACGAGCGCTGGGGGCTCGGCGCACACAGGCCCTCATCCCATTCCACCCCTTCCATCACACACACAATGAATGAACAGGATGCTGTTCAAAACAATGCCCTGTGCCTTCTGAGGGGGGAATGTGGGCAGGTGTCCTTCAAGGTCAGAAACCTCACCAGTTTTTTCTCGGAGAGCAATTCCTTCCCGGGGGGTTCCTGGTGCTTGGCGCGGTCCGCACAGCTGGCTGAGAGCAGCCTGGGAGGAGCGGGCCACAGGCGGACCCGAGTCCGGCGCCCCACGACCCCCAGCACCATCCGCGGTCCTACTGAGAGAAGCCTTGAAGGCACCATGGCTCCCTAACAAAAATCAAATTGGCAAAATCAGACACTTGGTTTAAACCTGCAGTCAAACAGAAACTGAAGGACAGGGCCCGTGCACAGCACTGTCTAGGTGTGGCTGTGAAACCTACAAACGGACCGATGGCCAGGACTTCCTTCCGGCACGCACCACTTTCAGCTCCGAGCCAGCAAGGCTCACCTGCCCTCGTCGGCCTCTGTGTCACTTGGGCGCAAGATGTGTGTAAAGAGAACTTAAAACCGCTAAATTCCTCTATCACTGGATATGCTCTTCTGTGGCTTTTCAAATATATCTGATCGATGAAAACATTAACAAGAAAATCTGAGCCTCCAATAAAAATTTCTTAAAACACCCAGTTACTCAAATGTTAATGGGTTAGTTTGTGCCATTTAAAACTAGTCTCACTGGAAGGCGGTGAGAATACGGAGTATGGAGTGTGGTGGTTATGCCCCCTTTGCCCCTCGTCCCCAGTGTGAGCCAGGGGGCACCCTTCCATGTGCGGCCCACTCTGTGTGTCCGTCAAAGGGACAGGGCTGGGAGGACAGGGCCAGTTAATCCCCATGAACAGGCTGCCCATGTGCGTGCTGACTGAATGTGAGCTACTTCTCCTTAACTAGGAGTTGCTCACGCCGTTACCTGTTCATTCAACAGCCCGGAACAGCTACACATCCTGCAGGCGCCAAGGGCAGATGGGAGGCAGTCTGGGACCTGGCCCTCCAGGGGGGTGGCAGCCCCTTCTCCCTCTGCTGTGAGCGCCTCATACCCATCCACTCTCAGATGCCCCTGTGTGGGCACACGTGTGCCCCATAAAAGGAAACCAGGTAGGCTTTCCTCCCATTTCTAAGTATGAAATGTATATGCAGGTAGGAATATAAATGTTTAAAATATCATCATAAAGCCACCATGTATGTAACACAGCAGGAGAAAAAACAGAATTTGCTTTTTCCTTAGAAGCCCATCATGTGTTTCTGCTCCACATCCTGTGCCCCGCCTGGAAGGGAAACACATCCTTGGTGGGAATTTTTCTCTTAGCAAGGCACTAAAAAGTTGCCCTTCTCGTTTGGAAACAGCCACAGTTATGGAAAAGCGGGAGTACGGGGTGAAGGACTCTCTTCTTCCCGAATCACCTGCGGGGAAGCTGCCAACCTGACTCCCCGCGTCCCACCCCAGAGCACCCCACGTGTGCTCCCTGCGCCCAAGGGCATCCCCTACGGAGCAGCCGGGCGACCTCTGCAAGCAGGCCGCCAGCCACGCTCACAGCCCCTCCGCGTGGCTCTTCAGCCTCCTTAGCCTGGAAGGTTCTTCAGCCTTTCCTTGGCTCTCGTGCCCGTGACACATGCAAGGCCACAGGCCAGGCGTCTTGTAGCACATCTGTGTCCCCATTTGACCGATGTCCCCTCCCGTGACAAAAATGTCCCACAGCCCTGCAGAGGCTGGGTTTCCTTGGTCCCTTCCTGATGCTCTGAGCTCCAGCCCTCGGGGGTCCCTGCTGGTTTCCCCCTTCCCCCTAAGCTTCCCGTTTATTCATTCCCATGGGCTTGTGGTTCTTACTTTATTCAGTGAGCCCCACTCTGTTACTTATTTTTGATGTTCAAGTGGTCTCCAGTTTGGCCAGTGGCAGCCCATCAATCTCAGAGCATTTCCCTGCTTCGTGACACAAAATGTTCTGGGCTCACTTTGTACTCTCCCCAGGTGACCCTGAGATCAGCCTTTACTCAAGAAGCCCTAGTTGCTTTGGGTGGAGAATGGGATTCAGAAGCCCCTCTATGTGCTGGGCATGCTCCGGCCTCTTGGGGTGTTGCTGCTCGCAGGCTCAGCGGGGACCTGGAGAGCAGACAAAGGTACACACACCCACACACAATATTCACCCCCACAGTCACTGCTACGCCCATCCACCCACAGCTAGAGAGCAGCATCTGTCAAAAACCATGAGTTCATACCTATGTGCCCAATTCCACACCACAGGATACATGCTAATTTTCTCTGTCTTAACAACCCCATTCTGACTGCCAGAATCCTGGCTTCCAACATCTTCAACATGTTTGTTTATTGGCTCAGTCCCCACAGTAGCCAAACCTTCCTCCACACAGGTGCTCTCCTCCCACCGCCATGCTGGCTGCCCCTCTGTGGGAAAACCCTCCTGTTACCTTTCTGTAAACGTATTGTTTTAAAGTAAACTTTTATTTGGGAATGATTTTTTTATTTTTGAGAGAATTATTATTTTTATTTGAGGGAATTATTATTTTTATTTTTATTTTTGCACAGCGGGTGCAAGCATGTGCATGTGTGCAAGGGTGGGGCAGAGGGAGAGAATCCCAAGCAGGTGCCATGTCCAGCGTGGAGCCTGACACAGGACTTGATCTCAAGACCCCAAGGTCATGACCTGAGCCAAAACCAAGAGTCGGATGCTAACCCAACTGAGCCACCCAGGCGCCCCTATTTGGTAATGACTTTAGATTTACAAAAAAAGTGAAAGATATTCCCATATACCTCTTATCCAGTTTCCCCTAATATCAGCATCTTACATGATCTGGGTACGTTTGTCAAAACTAAAAAACCAGCTCTGATACTTTCATTAAACTCCAGATGGCGTTTGAATTTCATCAGTCTCCCCACTAACATCTCTTTCTCTTTTCCAGAGCCAGATCCAGGATCCCACATTGCATTAAGCCATCCTGGAATGCTGTCTTTAATCTCTTGAAAGAGCCCTGCACTCAGCATCACACACCCAGGGAGAATACCCTTCAGGAAGGGAGGTGAAACACGACAAGCTCACCAATCTACTGGCTCTACAAGAAATGCTCGAGAGGGGTGCCTGGGTGGCTCAGTCGTTAGGCGTCTGCTTTCGGCTCAGGTCGTGATCCCAGGGTCCTGGGATCGAGCCCTGCATCGGGCTCCCTGCTTGGCGGGAAGCCTGCTTCTCCCTCTCCCACTCCCCCTGCTTGTGTTCCCGCTCTCGCTGTGTCTCTCTCTGTCAAATAAATAAATAAAATCTTTAAAAAAAAAAAAAATGCTCGAGAAAGTTCTTCAGGTGAAGAAAAATGGCACCAGAGGGAAACCCAGATCTTTAGCAATGGAGGACAGCAACAGAACTGGTAAATGCACAGGACTACCTGTTTTTTTGGCAAGAGCTTATTTTTTTTTTAATATTTATTTATTTAAGAGAGTGAGCACGCACGGGGGGAGGGGCTGACGGGGAGAGAGAATTTCAAGCAGACTCCCCGCTGAGTGCAGAGCCTGATGCCCAATCCCATGACCCTGAGATCAGCACCTGAGCCGAAATCAGGAGTTGGACGCTTAACCGACTGAGCCACCCAGGTGCCCCAAGAGTTAAATTATGTAAGATTATAGCAAGAAAGACTGATTTATAATATTGCCCGGTGGGTCTTCAACGCAGGCATTGGTCCTCCACGTGAACATGTAAGATCAGGAGGAGATTAAAGGGACGGCGTGGGGGCCAGTGGCCCGTGGGGTGGCACGGTCTCAGCTCAGCGCGTGAGGACAGGCTGCGGGGCGGGCGCGCTGTAAGCTCCAGAGCAGCCACCGCCACGCAATAGAGACAGCCAGAGAGCCAGCGAACAGGGCACGGGGGATGCTTGGCAACCACGCCAGCGATTTGGAAGGACGGGACAAACAGAACATGAACGGTACGGCAGCGTACCCTAAGCGAACCAGGCGAGGGAAGACACGCGAGAGCGACACAACGGCAGCTCATCAGGAAGACCGAGCAGCTACAGACGCGCACGGCGGGCACTTCAAAGTACATCAAGCAAAATGTGACAGAATTAATGGGAGAAACAGACCATTCCACAAGGACAGGAGGGATTTCAGTGCCGCTCTCTCAGGAAGTGATAAAAAAGTAGCTGAAAACCAAGCAAGCAAACAACTGAAAGCAGTAAAAATGCAGAAAGTCTGAACAACCATACCCACAGTCTGGACCTGACATTCACAGAACCCATACGTGTAAAATACGAGTCATTGCCAGGTGTGAGGATAGTTATCACAGAGTGTGTCCTCTAACTACAACAGGACTGCAGTCGGTAAGGATCAAGAACCTAAGGAAACCCCAATTACATGGAAATTAAACAACACTGTTCTGAATAATCTGACATCAAACAAGAAACTAGAGAATATCTTGAATGGCACAGCAAGGAGAGCACAAGGACCACAGCTCCTGGGACGCTCGGAGCTCTGAGGGCTCACACCAGCAAAGAAGGAAGACCTAAACTCAGGGAGCTGAGATCAGGAAACCAGGAAACGAAGAGCAAAGCGGAAGGAAGGAAATAATACAGAGCAGAAATAAACAGGACCCAGCGCTAACAGAGATGGAAAAGACCCATTGGAAAGATACACAGAGCGGACAAACCTTGAGTCAGACTGATCAAGAAAATAGTGAACACACATCACCAATGTCACGAATTTAAAACGGGTTTTCAGAACAAACCGTACAGATGTGAAATGGGTAAGAGAACGCCATGAAAAATGTTTTGCCAACAAATTCAACAACTTATGTGAAATGGACAAATTTCTTGAAAAACACAACTTACCAAATAAACACAAAAAGAAAGTCTAAATAGCACTGTATCTACTAAAAAAGTGAAACTTTTTTTTTTTTTTTAAGATTTATTTGACAGAGAAAGAGACAGCAAGAGAGGGAACACAAGCAGGGGGAGTGGGAGAGGGAGAAGCAGGCTTCCCGCCGAGCAGGGAGCCCGACGCGGGGCTCGATCCCAGGACCCTGGGATCATGACCTGATCCGAAGGCAGATGCTTAACGACTGAGCCACCCAGGCACCCCAAAAGTGAAACTTCTTATGAGAGCATATTCCCCAAAAGAAGATTCTGGACTCACACTATTTCCCCTGTAGATTCTAAAGAGCAATGAAGGATGCCAGGGCCAAGGAGAAGACTCTTGGAAGACAGGCTTTCTCGCAGGTCCGACCCCACCTCCCATGGGCAATCATGCACGTCTGACAAGTGCCAACAGCCATTCACTATCAGGAAAATGAGATGCTGCAGCAGACGAGGAACGGGCGGGCACATCTCCAAAGATACAGGGCATCCACAGAAGGCTGACACTGCCTGGAGACTGAACTGTTACCCTGAGATGGAGAAAGGATCGCTATGCTCCCCAGTTCTATGCAACCTGGTCTTGTAAACACTGCGGTGAGAATTGAAAAAAAAGGGGGGGAAGTAGGCAGAAGATAGGATTGTTTCCACAGAAATTAATAAATGGATTAACCAAGGTTGCAGGTTACAAGGTTAATACACGAAAATCACTTGCATTCTTATACTCTCCCAGCAAACAACTAGAAAATGAAATTAAGAAAACAATCTTGTTTACAGTCAGGAGCATCGTATACAAAAGCTACCTAGAAATAATTTTAATAAACATTCAAGATCTCTGCCTCATTACCTGCAAAATGCTGCTGACCTGAGTATTTTTCAGGGGTTACCTCCGGTCCTCATAACAACTGTGTAAAGGAAGTACTTATATTTCTCCCACTCTGCAGGTGAGGCGGTGAAGTGACTCACCCGAGGCCTGAGCTATCAGACGGGAGGCGGCAGGAGTGGAGTGTGAAACAAGTAAACTCAGCCATCATTGCTACCAACACACCCATGGCTCAGCCCGCTGCAGAGCCACGCTGCCCACCCAACCGCGTGGACACCAGGCACAGGGCACCAGTGTCGCGAAACCGGAGGACGGTCTACCGCACAGGTCACCCCGGTAGAGCCAGCTAGAGACCAGAGCTCTGAATCCTGCCAGCTGGGAGTGCTTCCTTCTTCCCACCCTTCTGTGTGTGTGGAAAAGCCGGCTGAAGGCAGGGCGGAGTGACAGGGCCCTCCCCGCTACAAGTAAACAAGCTTGACTTTGATTCACAGTTTGGTCTGTTTTCCTTCTAATGCCATACCTGCTCTGCCCTGTGCGGCAGCCCCTAGCCACACGTGGTTAAGTTTAAATTCATTAAAAATGTGAAAATGTAAAAATCCTGTCCCTCAGTTACACAAGCCCGGTTTCAAGTGCTCACAGTCACATGCGGCCAGTGGGCCCCACACTGGACGTGACATTGCCACTACTGCAGAAAGTCCTATTGGACAGCGCTGGTCTATACCGTAAACTCAGAAAAGTGAGCTCGAATTCCTCCTGGGGGCATCCGTCTACCGGGCCCGTTCAGCAGACACAAAGGCCAGAGAGTGTCGTGAAAGCCCAGGGTCCAGGGTCCGGCGGACTTCACAGTTACAGGATGGGGCTTTACAAAATGCTGGAAAGCGGGCACCTGGGGGGCTCGGCTGGTTAAGCATCCGATTCTTTTTTTTTTTTTTTAAAGATTTTATTTATTTATTTGACAGAGAGAGACACATTGAGAGAGGAGCACAGGCAGGAGGAGTGGAGGGGGGAGAGGCAAGCTTCCCGCCGAGCAAGGAGCCCGATGCGGGGCTCGATCCCAGGACCCCGGGACCATGACCTGAGCCGAAGGCAAATGTTTAACGACTGAGCCACCCAGGCGCCCCAAGCATCCGATTCTTGATCTCGGGGTTGTGAGTTCAAGCCCCGCAACGGGCTCCACGCTGGGTGTGTACACCTACTTACAAGTAAATAAACAGTGATAATGAATAAAAATGCTGGAAAGGCACTCAGCACAGGGCCGGGGCTCCACTTTAGACGGTATTTCTTTGTTCTATGAAGTGTCACGCTCCACCCTGGTCCAGAGGTTACGATCTGCCAGGAACCTCTCCTACAGAAATCGTAAAATCTCTTCCTTCCAACAGCCCGGGCGCGGGGATGTGTTTGCTTCCGCAGACCGCCCTCCACCCTGCCGGGGCGCAAGAGCCTGCCCCGGAGAACCACCCTCCGGCCACCCCCGGAGGCAGGAGCCGGAGGCCGCTCGGAGGTCCCCGCAGCGGAGGAACCGCGCGCACCGCACCGTCCCCTCCGCAGGGGCGCGAGCAGCCCCACCGTCACCAGCCCCCGGTGAAAGCGCCGATCTGTTGCGGGCCTGCGTCTTCCCTCCTAAGCAGTGCCGTCGGCCTGGGACGGTGCCGTCCCCCGCCTGACCCTTCCCCTTTTTCCGAGCCCCCACTTCGGAGCGCCCGGCCGACGACCCGGGCCGGAGCGCAGCGCCCGCGGCGGGTCCGGCGGGTCGCCGCGGGGCTCGGAGGGTCGGGAGGATCGCCGCACTCCGCTCCAGCGGGCCCGCCCGCGGCGCGCCTGCACCTGCAGAGCCGGCCTTCCGCGCCGCAGGAGGTGCCCGCGAGACGCGGCCGGAGCACAGGCCGCGGGGACCGTCAGGGGCCCCGGGCCGCGTCGCCGCCAGACACAAGACTTGCTCTCCGTGACCGAAGGGCCCCTCAGGACGCGCGCGCCGGCGCCTCCACACGGCGCGCGAGGCTCCACGCCGCCGCCCCGCCACCTGCGCCGGAGCCCCGGGCGCGCCCGCGCCCAGCCCACCCGCTGCGCTCACAGGGCCGCGCCCCCGGCCTCGCCCTCCGCGGGCCCGAAGCCCTCCCGCACGCCCCAGCCGCGGCGCCCGCGCCCGCACTCACCAAGCCGGAAGGGTACGTCACTTCCGGGGCCTGCCCGGAGCGCGAGAGCGGAAGACGCGGCCGAGCCCCGCCCACGCGGTTGGGCCCAGGCCGGGTAACTGACTCCGCCTGTGAGGAGGTGCCGGTTTGGAGGCGCTGGTTTCCCCGCCCCCGGCCCCGCCCCCTTCCCCCCGCCCCCCCCCCCCCCCCCCCGGGTCAGACAGACGCCCGCCTCCCCCGTCAGACACCGGCTGTCCCTGTCAGGAAACTGCTGCTCCGCCAGACCGGCACTTGCCTCCCGTCAGACACCTGTCGTCCCCGTCGGACAGACACGGACACCCCCCTTCAGGCACTGGCCTCCCCCGTCGGACAGACACGGACACCCCCCTTCAGGCACTGGCCTCCCCCGTCGGACAGACACGGACACCCCCCTTCAGGCACTGGCCTCCCCCGTCGGACAGACACGGACACCCCCCTTCAGGCACTGGCCTCCCCCGTCGGACAGACACGGACACCCCCCTTCAGGCACTGGCCTCCCCCGTCGGACAGACACGGACACCCCCCTTCAGGCACTGGCCTCCCCCGTCGGACAGACACGGACACCCCCCTTCAGGCACTGGCCTCCCCCGTCGGACAGACACGGACACCCCCCTTCAGGCACTGGCCTCCCCCGTCGGACAGACACGGACACCCCCCTTCAGGCACTGGCTGCGCCCGGTCAGCACCCGCCTCCCCCTCAGATGGACGCCCACTGCCCCCTCCATGATCAGGCGCTGGTCCACTGGTCTGAACACAAAGCACAGAAACTCCCTAGTTAGGGTGGTTTTGAAGAACCAGTTTATTCGTACATTACACCAAATCATAAGCAATTTATGGGCGCCAAACTCTGACTGGAAAAAAACGAGCTGACAGGGTGTTTTCCAGAAAAGGGACTGTGCTCACAGATAAGACGAATCTGACCCGATCGGTTAATAGAAATGAAGGAAGAGCCCCACAGAGCTAAAGGGGAGCAGCGGCAGCTAAAGGGGAACTGCCCTCGGAGCGCCTGCTCGCACAGCCGTTGGCAGGACCGGGGGCCGCGAGCACCGGGGGCCTTCCGGCAGCCTGCGTCCCAGTCCTCCAGGCACCAGGGCAAGGCCTTGCAGCCGCTGGAGCTTGTGAGCACGTCTGGACCCCACGGGCACGTCTCAAATCCACAACCTGCTGGGGGCCGGGGACATCTCCGGAAGAACGAGCGCCAACGTCCAGGTCTTCTTCGCATGTCCACTGGCCTTCTGTGGAAGCAGTCATAAAAAACACAGCACCATCGAACACACTGCACAAACAACTCACTTTAGCCTAAGCTTTTGCAAACGTATTACAGAAGAGAAGATGTAGTATCTTTAACGAAAAAGAATTGCTGGCATCACTTTCCCCCCACAATATTACATAAAAATGGACAGCACATTAAATAAACATTCTGTTATTAATCATTAAATATATTAATACCAAAAATCATGTATAAATTAGGAAATAAATGTACAAACTATTTCACAAAGTGCTTTTTAAAATATATACACAACATTCAAGAAATTCTTAATGTAAGACATTTCAGATTGAAGTTTTGGGATAAGTTCAAGTGTCCTTTTCTTTCAAAAAGTATTAATACAGCACTTAAAAAAACCACACACACACACACAAAAGGCATATTCGCAGATTGGTAAGGAATAAAAATAAAACGACTTTCACAGTTATCTAAAATGTTTAACATTTTCAATGGGGAATTTTAGTCCCCTGATGAGTTTGCAAATTAGCTCTATCAAAACTGCCAAGAAAGAACAGAAGCGAGGGAGACACCTCCCTAAATGAAATTGCTAATGTCTGTGTCATTTAGCAATTAAGAACTCTCATTTCAGAATTTAATATAGATATGTATTTCTAAGCCCTTACCAGTGTCAAGAGTTTTTAAAACCCATATGCCTCTAAGATAAACACTCCTATCCCAGTGCTTGCGTGATTCTGTCCCCACAGAAGAGGGGAAAATATCCTAGAATAGAACTGGCACTCGTCTGGGGCAATCTTTAATCTGCGCCTTGGTTCTTCATCGGTAAAATGGGAACAGTAATTGCCCCCATATTTCCCAGTGTGGACTGTCAGGATTCATTCAAGCAACAAAACAAAACAAAACAAAAACAACATAAAATACCTCATAAACTGTAAACCATTCAACAGCTCTGGATAAAGAACTACTTTAGACTTTTAAAACATTTCTGAAACTTATCAATTTAAAAAATCATTTTCAGTAGACCTGATATATCAAGAATTGGATTTTTTATTTATTTTCTTGGTTGTTCTTAGAAGTATGTCAGCATTTATCCGAAGATGTTTTTAAAGTATTCATGTGGGTATTACTGTCCAGGTAAAAGTTGACAGAATGTCTGTGTTACTAATTAGTGAAATACAGAGTTTTTCTTTTGACTATACTTTTCCAAGTGAGCTGTCTTTAATGTTTGTGTAGAATTTAAATGGGATTTGATGTCCTAGGAATGTAAAATTTACTCAAATTTTCCCATATAAAACCTTTCCTTTTCATTAGGAAGAACACAGTAAAATTTGTGGGATTCTTTTTAAAAATAAGATCTGAATTTCAGATATCTCTAAAAGAAAAGGAACGCTTGCTTGGAGATCTGAACAAGTAAGTCCTGGAAGAAATAATATAAAACAAAAAATAATATAAAATAAACAAAAAAATATAAAACTGTTCGGAAAATTTGGTATAAATATTTTAAGTTATCAATTTAGAATTGGGCATATCAAATATCCAAATCCCATAAGTGACCATCAGATAAACAAGGGCCAATGCCAGCCATTTCAGAGAGCCCTCTCTTTCCTTCAGAAACTACCCTCTTTCCTTCCCTGGGTTAGGCTAATTGTACGTTTATTTGGAATATAATCATTGATCCCTCTGTACTTTTTAGTACAAACACATAGGACATTTTGGATAAACACAATTGGCGAGAGACACAGGTAATGTGTGAGCTCTGGGAAAGACTGTTCACAGCCTCTCCGCATGAAGCATATTTATCCCTTTCATTGTGTAACAGACACTGACCCAAGACATAGAAGATGCCTTCCCCCCACGGAGGCACAGGAAGAGGCGGCCATCCAGGGGCTGTGGCGTGTGTCCGGCTGCGGTGTAGCCAGTGAAAGACAAGTTTACAACCCACAGTTCGACAAGTGTGTGAGGAGAGTCGGACCTGAGGCCCATTTATGTGAACACACGGACTATGGCATCTTGTAGCTGTGCCCCATTCCTGGGCACAGAATACTCTGATGACAAGAGGACCCCTAACACTAGCTAGAAACATCAAGGAGGGGGGACAAAAAGGAGACAACCTCCCCACTGCATGGACATACAATCCTACACACAGCACCAGATACGTCACACCATCAAAGCGCTGTCTCTCGCCAGCATGCTTGGCATCATACCCAGCATGAAATGTGCACGCTTCACATGCAGACGCTGTGTGGGGCCGAAGGGCAATCAAGAGGTCGGAGTTCATCAGAACTGCCACCAGCCCGACCAGCCATGGAGGGACATGCCACCGCAAGGCTCTAACAAGAGCCGCTTCTTCCTTACTGCTGGTAATTTCCATACTGGCCCTGCAAGAGACCAAAACACAGGTTACGCTTCCACAGTCACGAGTAAAAGTGTAAGACGGGCCCCTCCCCCCAAACCCAGGATTAGGGATGGAAGGAGGTATGAAAAGCAAGCAAGCAAACAGCTCTCTCCCCTGGGTTTCTGAAGGCCATCCGTCCAAGCCTGTGGCTAATGACTGACATCAGAAGGTCAGCGAGGCCCCTCACCAGCTCCTCCCAGTAAGGGCCCCCAAGGGGTCAGCAGCAGGGCTGGACACAAACTTGGGCTGGGACCCTGAGGCCAGAGCCACTCAGCCAGCCATGTCTGACCCAGGTGAGCAAACGTGTAGAGATAATTTCTAAAAGCCCCACGGGCTCAGAGAATTAACATTCTGGAAGGGAGCCTAGCAGCCCATTCGTTCACGCATTACTCCGAGTGACCCCGAGAGAAACCTTGGTCCTGTCTCCACAGACACGCTGGGTCTTGCCTGCTCATAGCCGTAAGGCCGCTGCTGCTGGGCCGACGGGCCTGTCTGAGACGCTCTGTAGCTCCCGTACTGCTGGCCTTGTCCTTGCTGGTAGCCGGAGTACTGCGAGGCGGCTCCCTGGGCAGGCCCTGAGGACACACGCCAGCACCGTGAGAACCACCGCGGCACCCCCGGCCCTCCGGGAGCGCCTGAAGCACCCTCCCCGGTCCTCCTCAACCTGCGACCCACGCCGCGCAAGCACAGCGAGCGCGTGGCCAAGGCTGCCCGCGGGTCCCGTGCGGCCCGGGCCGGTCTCCAGCGCACCTGCGCCGGCTTCCTGCCAGCGGCGTATCTGCCACCGTGGTCGCTGCAAACCCGCGACTTAAGCATCACAGCAGCTGCTGCTCGCGTGCGGGAGAGAGGCGGTGGGCATTCCTGTGGGAACTAAGGTGATTCAGGCCTTGGAAAGAACGGATAAAGGCCAAATAATTTTTCAAACAATGCTATTTGATGAGTCCTGGTTGCAACGGGTTGAACAAGAATCTTAAACTGTGGCTTTCCTTCCTCCTACGTACCACCGTCCCCAGTGAGCTCAGCAAGAAACCTCATGTGTCTTGGGGGGGCCCAGCCTGCCATCTTATTTTTTCAAAAGCCTCCCAGGTGGTCCTGAGGTGCGAAGGCAGAGCCCCGCCGCCCCCGACAAGCTCCCGCAGAGGGGCCCAGCTCTGCATGGGTGAGTGAATGGAGGTTTATATTTACATTAAACTAAGATGTTTCAGGTACAGACACATGGATGTTCTATGAACACTCCCGGAACCCACTCCTTTGACAAACTAATCCCATACTCATTCAGGTCATAAGGACGGCTTCTACTGTGTGTTCTGAATGCTAATCGTTTGCCAGGCCATCACGTGGTGGCAACCTTAGGCAGCCGTCCTCCTGTGACAGCAGCATCTAGAAGCACCCCCCCCACCCCCGCCCCGGGGCACCTTGGGTTCTGGGGAGTGCAGTCCACGTGCATCTCAGGAGCAGGTTAGGACTCGGGCAGAGCCTTATGCGGTCTGGGCTCTCAGCAGACATGACCCACAGGCCAGGGGCCGGGGCTGCACTGTTTCAGGTGGACCTGCCTGGGGGGACGAGGCCCACAGAGGACTGGGCAGATGTGCGGGCTACGATCCTGAGCCTGCACTCCGCTAATCTCCAGTGGACGGGGCTCTCCCCTTGTTGCTTGCTGTAGCCCAAAAAGCTCCCTCTGTCCACTTCTCTGTCCGATGGGCCTGGAGAACAATGCTTGTTGGCGGGCTCCACGGCAGAGTCTGTGAAGGCCTGCTGGCCCCTTCGCACTTTAGGGAATCCTCGTGGGGTGAACAAAAGCCGGTGAGTGGGCCAGCCCTTCTGGAAGCTGCTGCCAGACTAACCCATACATGGACTGTCTCAGGTGACCGTGTGGGAGTGGCTCAGAAAACGCCCACCTGCACCCGGCTCTTGGTCCCTAACGCAGTTCTCCCGCCGGAGAACCCAGAGGTCCTGTGAGACCTGCTGCTTCTAGGGCTAGAGCTCGGAGAGCATCATCGTCCCAGAGAATAAGGAAATGCTCAAAAACAAAAGGATGGGAGCATGTCAAAGGGCCTGGAAGAGCTCCAGCTCCCAAGAGGCAAAGCTGGACAACGTGAACCAAACAGAGAAGTCTGGAATATAACCCAATGTGTAAAATTAAGATCTATAAATACATATTAATAAATGATTAATAACTTATCACTAATTAATTACTCTGCCTTACAGAGAATTCCAAACAGTCTATGTAGACAATTCCTGCTTGAATGTGGGCTGGACTCAGTGGCTGGTTTCCAAAGATTAGGAAAGGGAGAGGAAGAAGGGATAACTTGATGGTGGGGGGACCAGTCAGGGTCAATATCAGGGGCAAGTCATGTTGATGTGGGATGAGAAAAACAGGCCCCCCACGTGGTCTTCCCAAAGCCCACAGCCCAGTCTCATCCTGAGAAAAACCTCAGACAAGCCCAACCTGAGGGTGTCCTACAAAGCACCTGCCCAGTGTTGCTGATGACCGCCAAAGTCCAGAAGGACAAGGATTTCCCAGATGCGGTCCCAGCCCAGGGGAGCCTAAGGAGATGTGGAACTAAATGTCACGGGGGATCCTAGGTGGGTCCTGGGACAGAAAAGGACACTCAGGGCACATGAGTGAGACCTGAGTGAACTGTGAGTTCAGCCCACGGCAGCGTGCCACTGTTAGTCTCTGAACTGGGACGATGGCACTGTGGTGGGACGAGGTGCTGTCCACACAGCTCTGCTGGAAAATTAAGTGTACTAAGCGCCCTCGGCACGAACGGCAGCGTGACCGTGTGTGGGGCCCCGTGCGGGAAGGCGGCTCCCCCTTACCGTAGCCTTGCTGCTGCCCGGGGTAGCTCTGCTGGTTGGGGTACTGCTGCTGGTACCCCGCCTGCTGCTGGGCTGTGCCCTGCTGGTACCCCGCCTGCTGCTGGCTGTACTGCGAGTTTCCTGTGGAGGGAAGGAGACACACGGTGCGTCTCTGGAGACGGAGACAGCTCCTCACGACGCGGACCCCTTGGAAAACCCCTGGACCAGCTCAATTGCTTCGGGATCGTCTCTTTTCCGCAACAATTCGAATATGAAGATAAGCCAAAATGAAACAGTTAATACAATTTAAGGCTAGTACAAGGGTTTTGGGTTGAACTGTGCCCCCCAGAAAGGTACGCTGAAGTCCACACCTCATGTACTTGTGCACGTGGTCTTATTTGGAATAAGGTCTTTGCAGATGCAAATGGTTCAGAGCACGCTGTACTGGACTAGAATGAGCCTTCTTATCAGAAGAGGGACATTTGGACACAGACACACGGAGAAAGCCACATGACAACCAAAGCGGACAGTGAAGTAACGTGCCTACGAGCCAAGGACACCAGGACCGCTGGAGCTACCAGAAGCTGGGAGAGGGGTCTGGGGCAGACCGTCCAGCTGAGCCCCCAGAAGGACCAACCCTGCTGACGCTTGGAGCTCAGACCTCTGGCCTCCAGAACTGAGAGAGTGATTTCTGCTGCACTCAGTGCCCCCATCTGCGGCACCTCTCGCCACACAGCCTAGGTCCCAGGACGGCCGTGAAGCAGGCCCAAAGCAGCGACTCTGAAGGAAGCACGTTTCAGCCTCTGATCAACAATGGTTTCGCTTGCGAAAAGAACACAGTAACAGCCTGTAGACCGCTAAAAACACACCACTGAAAATGAAGCTAAAGGGCACCGTGCAGTGTGGGAGAGGAAACGGGAGACACCCTTAGAGTCCTGGATTGAGAATCAGTACAGATCAGTGACCCCCAGTATGTTCTATACGCGCACCCCTCTTGGTGTTTACTCCTGCAGATTTATTCCGTCGACAGGCTAGTAGGTAAACTGGTGAGAAATACTGTCTCACTAGTAAGGAAAACCTTAGCTGCAGTTCTGGAACGTGACTGCAGGCCACCGTGTGTCCCAAGCAGGTGACAAGTACCCCGTGTACTTCCCTTACCACCGTGAGATAATCACTACTGTGCACCCATTGTACAGATGGGGGACTGAGGTGCACCGCCTGGCTGCCCAGGGGCCAACACTCAAACCCGGAGGCCGGCAACCCAGGATGGCCCCAGGGCCTCCAGAAGGGAAACTGAGGGACGTTCCAGTCCCGTGGCTGATGGACACGCTGAGGTGAGCGGCAGCTACCAGGACACTCCTCAGAGACCACTTACTCTAAGCTCATGTGTCCACACAGCTCGGAAGGACTCCGGGAAGTTTCAGGACACACTCATTTTAGGGGCAAACGTGTATGCCAGGTACAAGGTTCAGCTCAGACCTGTACTGGACTTTTCCTTTGACTTTAGGAAACGGGTGCCACAAAGGATTTTTTTTTTAAAGGCATATATTTACCCGTATACATTTTAAAAGTTTACTTATTTAAGTAATTTCTACAGCCAACATGGGACTCGAAGTCACGGCCCCAAGGTCAAGAGCCACACGTTCCACCGACTGAGCCGGTGAGGCGTTCCCAAAATGCCTTAATTCTTTTTTTTTTTTTTAAAGATTTTATTTATTTATTTGAGAGAGAGAATGAGAGAGAGAGAGAGTACATGAGAGGGGGGAGGGTTAGAGGGAGAAGCAGGCTCCTCGCCGAGCAGGGAGCCCGATGTGAGACTCGATCCCGGGACACCAGGATCATGACCTGAGCCGAAGGCAGTCGCTTAACCAACTGAGCCACCCAGGTGCTCCCAAAATGCCTTAATTCTTATTTTCAAAAATCTAGTCAGCCAGCATCCATGCCCAAAGCCTCATTCTGGAAGAAAGCTTACAGTAAGAAACATGGTTGAGGAGCGCAGTGAGGGCGTCGCCACGCCATTGCTGAGTGTTACGGCAGAGTACCAACAACCATTCTCAAGTCTTCCTACAAAGTCTTTTTTTTTTTTTTTTAAAAGATTTTATTTATTTATTCATGAGAGACAGAGAGAGAGGCAGAGGGAGAAGCAGGCTCCCAAGAAGCAGGGAGCCCGATGCGGGACTCGATCCCAGGACCCCGGGATCATGACCTGAGCCGAAGGCAGACGCTTAACCATCTGAGCCACACAGGCGCCCTCTACAAAGTCTTCTTGATGCAGGTCTCAAGAGCTGCCGTTTAGATGCAGTGTGGGTATTAAGTTCCACTCACGGTTTTCAAAACACCTTTACAAAAAGACCAATTTAAGTCTAGTTTCATTTTCTTTTGATGAGGACTTTGTTCCTCAACTTTGACAACTGCACTGCCTTTCATTTGTAACAGGTTCAGTCCTCAATCTGTGAGAGACCCAGTTCTCCAGCAGGAGGGGTGTGGGGGGGACCAGGGGCCTTCACTCGCCTGCAACACCCCACAGCAGACGAATGGCCGGTCCACAAATGGCAACCCCCTTCTCTGTGGGGGATCCATCGCAGACCCCGTGGACCCCGCGGCCGAGGGCAGGGCCACAGTCTGCACGCCCTGTGTGCTGTCCTCCGCACGCACACACGCATGCGTGGTCCAGGGTCAGTGGTGACCTGGGCACAGCCAGGGAGTGTCAGTAACCGCAAAGGACGCAGGACAGCTATCAGGATGTCAGTGATCAAAGTTGGGTGAATGTGGCCTCTGGCTCGGAAAACACCTTCTCGTCCTGTGCTCACCCGCCCGTGACAGGTGAGGATGGGATGAAGTGACGGGAGCGACGCGGGCGGGTGACGCGGCGCAAGGGTGCACCTGACCTTCTGACCGTGCGCCAGGGGGACCCTGTCACTGAGACTGCGGGAAGCCAGACTGAGGATGGGGGAGGGGACTATTACAGCTGGCTCTTTCTTTCTTTTAAATCAAAACTTGCCCCAGAGCCTGGATGGCTCAGTTGGTGAAGCATCTGCCTTTGGCTCAGGTCGTGATCCCAGGGTCCTGGGATCGAGTCCCACATCGGGCTCCCTGCTCCGCGGGAAGCCTGCTTCTCCCTCTCCCACTCCCCCTGCTTGTGTTCCCTTTCTCGCTGTGTCTCTATCAAATAAATAAATAAAGTCTTAAAAACCACACACACACAAGCAGATCCTGGAGACGTAGTTTTTAAGGAGCAGCCTTACTGAGAGCTACAGGTTGCTGTAAAGGCTTGCACCCTCCACGGGGACTTGAACTGCAGCCGCGAGGAACAGTAAGCGCGCTAGCGCTCTGACTCCAGGGCGAGCCCCTCCCTGCGGATCCTGCACACCCACCGCGTCTCCGCGGTTGCTCCTTGCTCCCTGCCCCAGGAGGCCCTGAGCTCTGAGGGGTCCTTCCTCCCAGCCCGTCCTTCCAGGTGGTGGTTCCCGCAGGGCGGCGCGGACCCCGGTGCACGGTGCGTATCTTAGCCGACGAGAGTGACGGAGACACGGCAGGGTTCTCCAGGGCTTCAGATGTTCTGGTCTGAGTATTCTCAGCCTTCTAGCCCCTTTCGCTTTTTATATGGTAATCGATAAAGTTCATTCACACGCACCGGCCCAGCTGCGGCCTGGCACACAGTAGGTGTACAATGTTAGTAGGGATGCCTCTGAGAACCAAAGCTCTGCTCCCACACACCATGGAAAACCTTCCCTTAGCCAGAGTCAAACCCAGTAGAAAGGTGGCCCGCGTGAGGAACGTGGACACAAAACGGTCACGGGAACCAGCGACCCATCGGTTCACTGACGCATTCGATAAAAACTACTTCTCGAAACAAGGATGTGCCTCAGGGACACGCGCGGGCTGATCCGGGAGGAGTCGCCGTCCCTGCTCTTCTGAATGTTCACCCACAGCTTGGGCACCGGTCTCGTGGGGCAAGACCCTGGGGACACCCAGGACAACAGCGCTGTGACCACGGGGCTTGGGGGGCGTGGATGGGTCTGCATGGCCACAAGGTCAGGCTACTTGGATTTTCAGTGACAGCCAGTAATGTTTAGTATTTTTAATTTTAACTTCTGCACAGGCAGATAGGTTCGTGTGACTGAGAAATGTAAAAGTGAATGCAGCCCCCCTTCAAGAAGTTCAGGGAAGAAGGCCACCTCCAGCCCTGCCAGGTCCCCAGCCCCGTCCCCCACCCACTGCCATTCCTACTGGTGTCCTGGGTATCTTTCCAGAGTTGGTTTGGGGGTGCACGTGCAAACAGGCATGGTCTCACACACAAGGTGGCATCCCTGGCACCCTGGTCCTCGGCACCTGGCCTGAGCGCTTGGCACAATCCAGGAGAATCGGCCACGGCAGCCCACAGGGAGCTCTGCTGCTTTTAACAGACACAGTGACCGGTGGGCATGTCACGGTGGATGCAGGCTCCGTCCAGTCTTTGCTACCACAAACCTCACAGCGACAAAGTACAACAGGATGCCCAAGGGTCCGTGGTGTGCTTGGCAGGGCCCCTGATGGCGACCTGGGTCTGTCTGGCTCAGTTGGCCCCTCGTGCCCTGATCCTGCCCGGCTTGGCCTACCGTGCCCTGGCCCCTTCCTGGCACCGGCCCTCTGTACGCCAGCGCCCCCTCATTCTGGGGGACCACACAGGGCTCCTGTCAGATGCCACCTCCCGTGAAAACCCCAGCACCAGCCACCTGTGCTCCACAAGGCTCCGCATCCCGCTGTGGCATTAACGTAATTCCTGGAAACGTCTTTGTTTTGGCTTCCATCCACCCCCTCATTGCTTCCACTCGACACCCTCCACCTCCGTGGGGCCACAGGCCACTTATGCACATCTGTCTTCTCAAAGCACAACACCATCTGCCTCTCAGCAAGACCTGGCAATGCCACCCACTGTGGGGTGACCTGGCCTCGTAACACAAGTTTGGGGAGTCCCAAGTAGGGGTCCAATTAACAAGATGGAACAAAACGCTTCCAGATTCAGGAGGAAACCATGCCATCTGCCACACTTGCCTTAGAAGAGGTTACTAAGTGTTTTAGCAAACTTTCCATCAATCACGGAAGGCAAGAACATGTAACCCAAAAATGAAGGTCTAAAAATGCGCACTTCGAAGTTCAAAAGGCACATCCTGAGCTTGTCTTCGGGGCAATCGTTTCTGCCTCGAACCCTCACTTGGATACAGCAGTGCTGGAGGTAAGCAGAGGCCCCTCCTGGTGGGGAAGGCTGAGCACTGGCATCCAGGGAGGAGCGGAGAGGGCAGGGCTGATGGAGGAGCGCTTCGCTTGCCGGAGAAGCTCCAGATGGCCCCGGGGCGGTGCACCTCTTCCCGGCAGGCTGAGAACAGCAGTGCAGACACCCGAGCACGCCAAACTCTACCTTTTACACACTGAATTGTATTTCAAACGTCCCAGACACACAGGTTTTTAGCCACGTAGGGCCCCCTGCTTGGCGTACCTGGTTAACCGTCACCGGCAGCTGCTGGCTACAGGCAGTGGGTCAGCGCCCTGCAGCAACGGGCCGCTGGGCTTGAGCCGGGCTGCTGAGTGCTCTCCCCAGGACAGGAGCGCTCCCCCCGGGGATGTCCCCTCTGGAGCATGGCCCCTGGCTGCAGCCTCTCCGCAGGTCTCCCGCTGCGAGGGCCGGCCCCTCACGCGCCCTGTCCAAGCACCATCCAGGGAGGCTGCTTGGGCTCTGCTGCCCGGCGCGGGCACATCTCTTCCCCGGTCAGCCTGCGGTCCCTCGAACCTCCCATACTCATGTCAGTGACATGGGCCGGCCAGCACAGTCAAGCGCCTGCAGAGCTGCCATTAGGCCAGGGTCCTGTCTCAGGAATGGTCCAAGGTGAGGGGATGTGATGCACCCAGAGAATGTTCGCGGATACCCGTCTTCAAGAGTGGAAGCTGAGATGAGAAGCAGCCTAGGTGTGACTGGAGAAGAACAACATCTGGGGAAACTGTGTGGATGGGGGAAGGGCCAAGGTGGTCACAGGTGGGATCACTGGCGAGTTTACTGTGGTCGTTAACAGAAGGCAAGACCAAGGGCAGTTGTGGCGACTGCGAAGGCAGGAAGGAAGCGTTACCTGTTCACTACGAATGGCCAACACTTAATCAGTTCCTAAGAATGATAAGGAACATCGAATTACTCATAAATAATTTTACTTTGAGATGGTGCTATGTTTTGGTTCTCTTGTTCTATATCCATTATCAGGCTTCAAATCCAGCCAGGGGTGACGGCCAGGTCATTGCACCAGCTTTGGGAACAGGAGGGGCCAACATGGCAGCTGCTGGGGTCGGGGGAAGACCTGCCTCACTGGGTGACGGCACCAGACACAGGCCATCTCGGGGTCTCAGAGCCAGACTCCCTGGGACAAGAAGGCTGCGTCTGAGCCATGTCAGTGAGTGGTACCCAAACGTGGGGACCTGGGAAGCCATTGCTGGGAAACACTTGTAACTGACCCCAGCACAGCCTTCTGGGCGATTCTCCTGTAGTCTCCAAATGTCCTACAATCTCCTAACATTGTAACTAAAAAATGAAACTGTGCGTTTAAAACCTTCTGGCAGTTCTTCAAATAATTAAGCACAGAATCACCCGACGATCCATAATTCTACTCCTGGGCATTAACACAAAGGAAATGAAAGCAAGGACTTGACGACAGATTTGCACACCCACGTTGCCAGCAGCAGGATTCACAACAGCCAAGACATAGAAGCGACCCAAAAGGGTCCGTTGACAGTTGAATGGATGAGCAAACCATGGTGCATCCACACAACAGAATACAATTCTGCCTCGAAAGGGAATCCTGACATCTGCTACCACACCCGTGAACTCAAGGATGTCACGCCCAGCGACACAGGCCAGTCAGAATGACAAACATGTAGGGTCCCACTTACGTAAGGACCTAGGGACATCACGTGCAGAGATAGACAGGAGAGCAGGGGGTGCCGGGGGCGGACCGGGAGCCAGGGTCTGACAGGGGCGAGTTCTGGAGACGGATGATGTGAATGTGTTTCATGCTACTCAACTATACACTCAGAAATGGTTCCAACGGCAAATTTTGTTGTATTCTTAGCGTAACTCTTTTAAAAAGCCATCCAAAACATGTGGATTCACAAGCTGCCCATCTCATGTTTATTGCTCGTGTTTCCTTCCCTGGGGGCCCTGCTACCAACCCTCACGCTGTGCCCACTTCGGACGCCTGGACCAGGAAGCCAGGGCTGAGCCCGCTGCCCGTGACTTTACGGTTTTCTCTTCTCTTGGGGTCTCCCAAGGACAGGGGGAAGTACCTTTGCTCTCTGGGGACCCCGCCGAGAAGCGGATATGCAGATTTCCTCCCCGTTGCGTGTGTGCTGACCTCACGCTGGAGGCCGGACGGCGGCGCAGGTGGGAGTACTTGCAGCGGGGAAACGGGCGCGTGCCAGTCACGGGCTTTCTGTTGCTACAGCCGGCCTCTCTCCTCCCCGCCTCACGCCACCTCTGCTGGACAGCCCCGGACAGCCCCCAGGGCAGCACCACTGAGGAATGCCGCGGGGGTTGGGGGGGGTTGGGGGCTGCTGCAGGCTCTATCTGGCCAGCAGGGGTTTGAAGAAATGCCCGGGCCGAACCCAAGGAAGCCACACAGTCCACGGGCACTGGCCGGCTGGCTCAGGAGGGGCGCGCGGTGCCTGAGCCTCCCCGACCGAGTCTGGAGCTCCTGAGGGCGTTCAACCGAGCTCACAAGCCCCACGCTGCCCAGCCGAGCCCGATGGTGGAGTCTGGGCCCCTGCGACCCCCACGCGGCCAGTCAAGCCCCCTCCACCCGCCTGCGTCGTGAACGGGGACGTGTTCCGCGGCCTGCATTTGCCGCCTCCGCGAGTACACGTGGCCTCACACAGCCCCGCACCACCTGCCGCGGGTGCGCGTGTGACTCGGAGCTCGCCGCGCGGCCCTTGCGCTCCTTACCGCCCTCATAGTAGTGCTGCGTGGACTCCTCAAAGGACCGGTCGTAGCTCTGCTCCGTGTAGGATGACTGCTGGTAGGCGTAGTCGCCGTGTCCTGCGGGCACACACAGGCCACGTGCAGTCAGCGGAGGCCCAGACGGCCGTAAACTGAATGGGCAACGCTGTCGGCTCAGGAACGTCCAGACCCGGACCTGGATCCATTTTCCCTGCACTAAGCCCACGAAGGAGCTTCCTACCACCTCCCGGCCTCTGTCTCTCCCTCTGAGATGCAGCCCCTACTTGTGGGGTGAGCGTGAGGAGTCCATTAGTCACGGCATATACAGAGAGGGCGCATCCAGTGCCCGGCACGTGACAAGCTCCGCCGGCACTGCCATCCTGCTGCTGGCTCCCGGGGGTGCTGCTGGGGGGCACCGTGCACCCTCAGGAGGACTTTGCCACTGTTCTGTTGGGGGACAGCCCCGCGCTGGCCTCAGCCCCCCCACCTCACATACGCTCCCTGCCTATTGTCACCCCCCTCCCCAAATCCCACCCATCCTCTATGCCACCTCCACAAACCCTGGGGCGATTTAAAATGACTGAAAGGTGAGCGTGGAAGGAAAACCATCTGCAGAGACTGAGCAGCAGCTACAAACAGCCAGCTCAGCTTCGTCCCCTTCCTGAAGGCGTTTCACAATGATGCTTGCGTCCCTCTTTTGAAACAGTTTTGTGCACCTACTCATCCAGCTGTAACCCCGGCTGCCCTCTGGAAGGGGGGCGAGGAGCCTCACGTCCGTGAGCAGCTGCGGCCTGAGCCGGCAGCTTCTCTCGGCAGAGGCCAGCCCTCACCCTCGTCCCCAGACACACTCGGGCGCGGGGGCCCCGGGGGCTGCGCTGGCAGAAGTCGGGGCGGCAGGTCTGAACGGGAGCGCGCGGAGGGCAGCGGTCAGTAGCCTCCGCGACCCCGGTGTCGCCGCCGGCGCGGGCGCGGGCCTCACCGTCAGGGTAGTACTGCTGGCCCATGGGCTCCGAGGCGGCCTGGCCGTGGCCGTACTGCTCGCCAGCGTAGTATTCCTCCTGGCCCAGGTACTGCTGGGACGACCCTGGGGGCGGGCAGCGCACATGGGGCGTTCACTCAGGACGCTGTTCTGTCTCCGGAGGACCCCCGCGATGGCCCCCCGGCACCCGGGAATTCTCCCCCACGTCCAGCCGGGTACCCTGGACTTGGTACTCACAAACACGACCGCCCCAGCCCCTGCTTCGGACCCTGCGCCCGACTCCACCCCTACAGCGGCTCGAGCCTGGTCCGCCTCCGGCAGCAGCATAGCTCTCAACCCTCCCCGTTCCGTGAGCCCCACGCGGCTCCGGACCCCCAACCTCCTCGCTCGACACTAAGCGCTGCTCAGGGAGAACGGCACGGCGCGGGCATTACCTTGCTGGGAGGGCCGGTAGGGCGCCATGGGCCGCTGCCCCATCATGCTGCTCCCCTGGCCGCTCTGGCCCATCATGGCGATGGACGACTGGCCCTGGTAATGCTGACTCCCGCCCTGTGCCGAGTTGTAGTGGGACGAGGCTGCCTGCTGGTGCATCATGGACACTGGGCGACACGACAGAGCCGAATAACCCCGAGAAGCTCCCCGGGCAGGCACCCTCACCCCTCACCCCAGACCCCGACGGCACCCTTCTCCCAGGCCGCCTCCACGCACGGGAAAAACTCGAGTCCTCTCCTCCCAAGTCCCCAAGGCTGGTCCCAGAGGAGCCAGGCCTGTGCCCGCCCCCGAGACTTGGGCCTCTGAGGCTCTCGGTGGGCAGCCTCTGCCCCTTGGCCCATCCAGTCGTGCCACCCCTGCTCAGAACCCACTAGGGCAGCACTATGCGATGGGATGGGAGGAGAACCATGTCAAATGACAGAAGCAAACAGGTGAAATCTATTTTAGTAATATATTTTATTTGACTCATTATATCCAAAATATCCTCGTTTTCAGTATATAATCGATAGTAAAAATAAACGGAGGAGATACCGTGCGTTCTCCCTTTTCTGTATTAAGCCTTTGAACTCCGGCGCCTGACGCTCGGGGACATCTGCATTTGGGCCCGATGCTACCCGCTGCTCAGCACCCTGTGCTCGGCCCACGGGGACCCCGTGGCCCAGCGTCTGTGGCCCTGCACCCTGCCTACGCCGCCCCCCATCCTAGGTGAGCCTGGCTCCGTCTCCCAGGCAGGGGTCACCCCTCGGCAGAGACTTCCCTGGAGCTGCCACAGGGAACAGCGGGAACCCCTCCACAGAGCCGGACCCAGGGTCCCTGGCACTTCAGAAGCCCCCAGCACCTTGTGCACAGCCTGCACACATTTCAGAGGGCCCCAGGGACCGTCCCGGGGTTGGGTAGGAGTCCTGGGGGCTGGGGTGGTGCCCTAGGGCGGAGCAGGGTGGTACCTGGGTTGGACTGCATGCTGATGTTGGCCCGTGACACGTAGTTGCCGATGGCGCCCTGGCCCTGCAGGGGCACGCTCTGCGAGGCGGGTCCCGAGTGGCTATAGCCAGGCCCCGAGCCGTGGCCGCTGCCTGACATACTCATGGAGGTGGTGGGCAGCGTGCTCTGAGCTGTCTGCTGCATGGACACGTGGTTTGGACCTGCCAGGAGCACAAGGAGGGCCTTGACCCCATGGAAGACCGGCCTTGTTGCCAGACATCCCGAGTTCCTTCACGTGATCGTGGGGAGGGAGGCGAACCCACGGTCAACAGCACCACAAATGAAGTAAAGGATTAAGTGACGAGCAAAGAAACGAGCACACGTGCCGACCATGCAGAGGACTCGCCCGTTCGCCATCCCGACAGCTATCGGTAGCTCCTTCTCCAAAGGTAACCTTTCTGTTCTTGTTTAAAAAATTCCACATGGAACCCCACGCGTCCATTTGAGGTGGCCATCACGTGACCGTGTCAAAGCAGAGTAGACGATCTAGAGTGCTTTATTCCCTTTGCGTGTTACCCCCCGTGCTCGGGCGCCCGGGCATGGCAGCTGGCCGGCAGCCAGGACCTCTGGGAGGAGACAGGTCCCACACTTAGCTCTGCAGGGCACGGGGTACCTGCTGAGACAGCCAGCCACCTGGAAGCCCGAGCGGGTGACGTGCTGCCAGGACCCAACCCCCACCCTGACGGGCTCAGGGCTACTCACCGTTCCCGATCTGGCCCTGCATGAGGGAGGCCGGGGGCAGGCCCGTGCCAACGGCATCGCTGAGGCTGCCCTGGGAGTGCAGGCCCTGGCTGGAGCTGCTCTGGGACAGTGCTCCAGGGCCCAGGTTCATGTTCTGGGTTGGCGGCTGCAGGCAACAGGGAGTAACAGGGAGGATGGTTAACCCAGAGAAGAACCACCTGAAGCCCTCCAGGGATTTGGCAGCCCATGAGATCTGCCCCCTCATTTCATGGCCACTTGGCAAATGTCTATAATCCCCTGTTGCTCTCACATTTGACCAGATGACTGCGAGTGACTAGGCCCAAACATCTCAGGCCAAGGACATGATACACCAAGCATTCTTGTGTGAACGTTCAGAACTTAAGTCAACACAAACTTGGAAATTCAAAGATAGGTCCTCTTTACTGGAGCTACAGGGAGCCAGCTCGCCAGCCCACCAGACTGCATCTACCTCATCTCACTCCACACCCCCGCCCCTCCCCCTTGGCCTTAGCTGGCCAGGATTCTGTGTGTCCCTCATCCACACCACCCCACGCCCCAGGGCCTTTGCACTGACTGCCCTGGGTCTTAGCACTGGCATTCCCATCGCTCCTCCTCTCCGTGTGCCCTGCCTGCGCAAGCCCAACTCTGATCAGATGTGGAGGGTGACGGGACTGAGTGACCCCTGCACCCTCATCTCCTAGATCCAGACCATACAGCAGCTCCGAAGTGTCGGACACACATGCTGCCTGGACCCGGCTGAGAAAACAAAGTTCCCACCAGGATCCACTGGTATCTCTAGGGTGAGGAGTTGCAATTTCATAGGCCAAGCAAGTTGTTTTAACGATTTTATCAGCAAAACACTTCCTGACACTTATGCTGTCACGTTCCAGGGGACTCGGGGGCATCGAGGGATAAGCTGTTCCCGGTGACAGGACTGTCCCGAAACCTCTGTGCCCACCACGGTCAACGCAGGCCGGGCCCTCTTGGGGCTGTGCCTTCCTATTCCCCAGGCAGGAGGCAGCCTCTGCCGGACCTTGCCTTTGCAGCAGTGATTTGATTTCAGGAAAATGGGTTTAAAAAAGTTAGACACCAGGGGCGCTTGGGTGGCTCAGTTGGTTAAGCGTCTGCCTTCGGCTCAGGTCATGATCCCAGGGTCCTGGGATCGAGCCCCGCATCGGGTTTCCTGCTCAGCGGGGGGCCTGCTTCTCCCCCCTCCCTCTGCTTCTCCCCCTGCTCATATTCTCTCTCTCTCTCTCTCTCTGTATCTCTGTGTCTTGAATGAATAAATAAAAAAACCTTTAAAAAAAAAAAAAAAGTTAGACACCAGACCATTTACACTGACGTTGAAAGTGTCCCTGCACCGGGTACAGTTTTGCTGCTAAATCAGAGCAGTGTCCGTTCCTGGGCCACCACCGTTCCAATCGCGCTCAGGGCCCGCGATAAAGAGCAAGAATCCCTGAGCCACTTCCTGTCCTCCTGAGACCTGCCTCCCACCATTTCTAGGTTTGGTTCCTCGGGGTCACCTCCCTTTGCTAAAGAAACTGATGTCACGATTCTGACCAGCGCACTTCAGGCTCTGTCTGACTGGCCTCCTGCCCCCTTCCCATGCCTCTGTCTGTTACTTGGTTACTCTAGGTAACGCGCTCAGACGTCTGCTCCCCGAACTGGCAGTCTGAGGCTGTGCCTGACTGCGCTGGGCAAGGGTGGGGCCCACTGTCCCCCGTGTGTGGGCACTCACGGCAGGGAGCAGGGACTGCATGTTCTGGTTGGAGTCCGCGATCGTGGCCAGGTAGACCAGGTTCCGGTGCAGGATCTGCTGGTACCTGCAGGTCGGGGGCACACGGTGAGGCAGAGGAGGCTGCAGGCCCATCTGACAACGTGCACCCAGGGCAGCCTGGCCTTGCAGCGAAGCCCCCGCGGGACGTGGACCCCTGACAATGCCCAGGGACAGGGCAGGCAAGAGTGCTCTGTGGTCCAGGACAGGGCCAGGCAGGGAAGAGGGTCCAGCCTGAGTCCTGAGTGGGATCCTGTCTGATGACAACACGCTGAAAGACCCCAAGGCGGTGGCCAAGGGAGAGGTGTCAGCAGGTCTGTTCAGAGAATGGGAGTGGGAGGAGGGGGCAGAAGGCATGAGGAGGCACGAGGAGGCCCAAGACAGAGACTGAGGGAGGCACAGGAAGGGGTACCAGAGAACGAGGCCTCCTCCATCGGACCCTGACACCAGGCGGACTCGGTACCTCCGCACCCCTGAAGAGGTTCCCCCGAACAGGCCGGGGGGTGGGGTGGGGAAAGCCCCCAGGCACGTGGTGGCTGCTCACATGCGTCACACGTCTGGGGGCCTCAGACAGCTGGCTCATGCACCTATTCTGCGTCCAGCCCTGGGGGGTCACACAAGGCCCTACCCGGAGGAGCTCACTGTGCCCCGGCATGTCCGCCAGCGGTACCCTCTCCTCCCACACTTCCATGTCCCTCCAAACCTTCTCCCCCTCCTTGGGGAGCCATCCTCTGAGGGTGACCTCCAGAGCCTGACGGCCACTTACTGGGTGCACTCGGCCGTCTTGCCCTTGCTCTGGTAGTCCAGGATACACTGTATCAGGTGGTGGTTCTCATCCAGCATCTGAAGGGGAAGCAGACGTGAACACGGGACACAGATGGGTCTGTGGTGTCCGGCCGGGGGGTTGCAACGGGGCGCCTGCCGGAGTCGCGCCATTAGGTACGCGACGGTAACTGTCACCAGCGTGCAGGTGTTCTAGATAGAGAACGCTAACTCTTCCACATCACCCTGGCCAGCAGGACCGAACACTTCCCACATCCTTGTGCTATGCGTGGCCTTCCACGTGTCAGGGTCCGTCCCCCCACAGGCCCAGGGTCAGGTTCCAGGTTCTCTCACGCAGCAGAGGAAAACCCACAGCCCACAGGACTCCCCATTGTCTCGGGCCCTTGACCACAGTGCATCTGCCTGCTAGGGTCGGCCCTGGAACCCTGAGTTCCTGTCTGGAGAGCCCCACATCATGGCCACAAGCAGTCCCTCCTGAGAGGCCGCTCACAGCCCTGCAGAGCATCACGAAGACCCAAAAGAGCCGGCTTTTCGGGATGGCCACCCGGCGGGCAGCCCCTGGGATGGCCTGGGGAGACCCAGGAGGAGGTGAGGAAGAAGCGCGAGAGGGAGGAGGGCCTAACGGGAGCGGCGGAAGCACAGTAGGGCTGCGCCGGCCGGGTGGGCGGTAAGGTCAGGCAGCCCTGGCCAGCCCGCCCTGCCGGCCCGGGGTCTGGTCAGCATTCAGGACTAGGGAGGGCACAGAGTACAGCCTTCTCCACCCGGCTGTGAAGGCAAGATCCGGCTCATTCGCCACCTGTGCATGTAACCAGCTTCTGCTCTCTGCAAGGAGAGGCAGAACTGGGCCCAAGGCAAACGCTGCTTTCCACAAAGAGCTCTTTATTCAGAAACGTGTGCTAAAAGAACAATCTATGCGTTCTGCCCTCCACAAATTGTGCCTGGTCACCGCGGTGCAGGTTCTTCTGGGCAAGCTCAGCTCTGCAGGCCCCTGAGTGAGAGGAGGGGCCCACCTGCTTGCCACCGGCTGGAGGGGCAACTACCCTTCCTCCCTGGGCACCGTCAGCCCCTCACTGCTCTCCGACCTCAGAGTCCTGCTCCTACAGAGCTTGGGGCCCAAACCTGTCCACGGAGGGGAGACCAAGGCGCAGAGGGCCCGGCCCCACCCTGCTGCAAGGCCGAGTCCATCCTGAGGCCCCGCAAGCGACCTCTGCGACCCAGGGGTCGGTCTCTCTCGCTCTGTTTTAAGTTAGAGCTCTGTCCTGTCCCCACTGCGGAGAGCATGGGGGTCAGTGACTCCCACCTTGGCTGAGGAGCCTGCCCGGATGGGAGAACCGGAGGGTGGCACCGTGGGCCCAGCGGCTACCTGTGGGCAGGTTCGGGGGCACTGACTGTGAAAGGGCACGTTACGACTCTTTGTCCAGATTAAGGGAAACAACCATGAAAGACCTTCCTTTCCCTCTAGAAGCTCCCTTATAAGGCTTCAGCTTCCCTGACAGAAATTCCTGGGCAGGAATTTGCCTCCAAGGACATACACCACTGACCTGACATGTTTTATGCTCAGGATGCTCATTTCAGCATCATTCTTAACACTCAAACACAGGGAGAAGCTAAATGGTGAATGACAGTGTCACTTACACAAACGGGCCGAACTGGCCATCGTACACATTCCTACGGTTTTTAGAAGCATGAGGAAATGTTCCACTGTAAGGGTGAGAAGAGGAAAAAGCAAGGGACAGAGCACGATCTCCATGAAGTGAAAAACGCTCTGAACAGAGGCCAGGCCGAGGTGGGTGAAAGACAGTGGACTGGATGCCCTGACCTCTAGACCCTGGCGATCCCAGTGAGTAAGGGACACAACAGGCTATGAGCAGCGAAGGGCTGAGGCAGCAGGGCCAGCAGCAGGGTTCCAGAAGTGGAGGGCGGCAAACAAGAGAGAAGTGAATGAGCAGACCAGACCCTAGGGCGCCAGCTGTGAGACAGCCACATAGGAACCCAGAGGCTGGCGGGAGGCAGACAAGAAGGTATGAGGTAGGGCCAGGGTACTGAAGGCCAGAGAGCGCCCCCAGTGACACCACAGGCCAACCCCGAGCACGTGAGCCCTGCCCCGGGCCAGGCCCTCAACGAGAGTGCTCCTGGGAAGCCTGTGGTCTAGACAAGCCAAGGCCACAGAGGGCTCACCTGGGGGAGATGAAGACCACGCCAGAAAGAAACTCACAAAAACAAGAAGAAAGAAGCACACAAGCAGTGTTAATATCCCCAGAAGCAAAAAAGATTGTGCCGTTAATAAAAGACACTGTTAAACACAACAGAGATAGAACGAAACAGAACTCTGGGTTATTTCTGTAGTGACCAAAGCAAAAGACAATCAATGGAAGGATTGGAAAAAAAGTTGAGGGAAACTCCTGGAAAGCAAATTAAAAAGACTAAAGTAGAAAACAGAAAAGGCAATAAAATTAGAAAAACAAGCCAGCCAAGTGGCAAGAAACAATTCTTCCCGGACATCCAGAAAAAGAACACAGGGAGAAAAATCTGCAATGTGTTTTCTCAGAACTGAAGAATATAAATTTCCAGATTAGAATGTTCTCCAAGGGGCCAGCTTGCCAGAAACACTGAGGACAAAGAGAGATCCTAACAAAGAATGGACTGAGAAACCATGGCATTGAGCTTCTCCACACAGGCCAGAAGTTGGCAAACAGTGGAGGCGAAATAGCCTGATCCCGAGGGGAGGCTTCCTGAGGAGATAAGACCAATCCCGAGTGAAACTTTCTGAGGAGAAATTACCTATCCTGAGGTATGTGTGTGTGTGTGGGGGGGTCTTCCTGAAGAGAGATGACCAATCCGAGTGAGACTTTCTGAGAAGGGATGATCTGATCTCAAGAGGAGGCTTCCTGAGGAGATGGCCAATCCTGAGTGAGACTTCCTGAAGAGAAATGACTGATCCTGAGCAAGATTTTTTGAGGAGGCATGACCCGATTCTGAGGGGAGGCTTCCTGAGGAGAGATGATGGATCCCGAGCAAGACTTTCTGAGGAGAGATGACCGATCCCGAGGGGGGCCTTCCTGAGGAGACATGACTAATCCCGTGCAAGACTTTCTGAGGAGGGATGACTCAATCCAGAGGGGAGGCTTCCGGAGGAGACATGACCAATCCCGAGTAAGACTTTGAGGAGAGATGACCAATCCTGAGGGGAGGCTTCCTGAGGAGAGATAACCAATCCTGAACAAGACTTCCTGAGGAGAAATTACCTATCCTGAGGTGTGTGTGGGGGGGGGGGGGGCTTCCTGAAGAGAGATGACCAATCCTGAATGAGACTTCCTGAGGAGAAATGACTGATCCTGAGGGGAGGCTTCCTGAGGAGAGATGACTGATCCTGAGCAAGACTTTCTGAGGAGGGATGACCCGATCCTGAGGGGAGGTTTTCTGAGGAGAGAGAACCAATGCTGAGCAAGACTTCCTGAGGAGAAATTACCTATCCTGAGGTATGTGTGTGTGGGGGGGGGGTCTTCCTGAAGAGAGATGACCAATTCTGAGTGAGACTTTCTGAGAGGGATGACCGGATCTCAAGGGAAGGCTTCCTGAGGAGATGGCCAATCTTGAGCAAAACTTTCTGAGGAGGAATGACCTGATCCTGACGGGAGGCTTCCTGAGGAGAGATGACCCATCCTGAGTGAGGATTCCTGAGACATGACCAATCCTGAGTAAGACTTTCTGAGGAGATATGACCAATCCTGAGGGGAGGCTTCCTGAAGAGAGATGACCCATCCTGAGGGGAGGCTTCCCAAGGAGAGAGAACCAATCCTGAGCAAGACTTCCTGAGGAGTAATTACCTATCCTGAGATGTGTGTGTGTGGGGGGGGGGGGGTCTTCCTGAAGAGAGATGACCAATCCTGAGCGAGACTTTCTGAGGAGGGATGACCTGCTCCTGAGCAAGACTTTCTGAGGAGAGATGACCAATTCCAAGGAGGGCCTTCCTAAGGAGACATGACCAATCCCAAGTAAGACTTTCTGAGGAGAGATGACCAATCCTGAGGAGAGGCTTCCTGAAGAGAGATGACCAATACTGAGGGGAGGCTTCCTGAGAAGACATAACCAATCCTGAGCAACACTTCCTGAAGAGGGATGACCCGATCCCGAGGGGAGGCTTCCTGAGGAGATGGCCAATCCTGAGCGAGACTTCCTGAGGAGAAACGACTGATCCCGAGGGGAGGCTTCCTGAGGAGAGATGACCGATCCTGAGCAAGACTTTCTGAGGAGGGATGACCCGATCCTGAGGGGAGGTTTTCTGAGGAGAGAGAACCAATGCTGAGCAAGACTTCCTGAGGAGAAATTACCTATCCTGAGGTATGTGTGTGTGTGGGGGGGGTCTTCCTGAAGAGAGATGACCAATCCTGAGCGAGACTTTCTGAGGAGGGATGACCTGATCCTGAGCAAGACTTTCTGAGGAGAGATGACCAATCCTGAGGAGAGGCTTCCTGAAGAGAGATGACCAATACTGAGGGGAGGCTTCCTGAGAAGACATAACCAATCCTGAGCAACACTTCCTGAAGAGGGATGACCCGATCCCGAGGGGAGGCTTCCTGAGGAGAGATGACCAATCCTGAGCAAGACTTTCTGAGGAGAGAGGACTGATCCTGAGGGGGACCTTCCTAAAGAAACATGACCAATCCCAAGCAAGACTTTCTGAGGAGGGATGACCTGATCCAGAGGGCAGGCTTCCTGAGGAGAGATGACCAATCCTGGAGGCGGCGGGGGGAAGGCCTTCTGAGGAGAGATGACCCAAGAGGTTGGTAATACCATCTGGAGGGGCCAGAGGTCAACATCGAGTTGTGACTGATGAGTGGTGGTGAGATCCTCGTCTGAGTGTCTCTCTCATCTCTGCCCCTTTGGTCTTCCCACCCAAAGCCACCAGGGTGAGCCAGCCTCTGCTGCTCCTTTTTGGACGTATGACTCCCTCCTCCCTACAGGTGGAGCAGTTTCTTCCTTCTGGTCGACGTTGGTCCCTTTCTGCTCTGACATCTTGGAGATTTTTTTTTTTTAAAGATTTTATTTCTTTATTTGACAGAGATATACAGAGAGAGCACAAGTAGGCAGAGAAGCAGGCAGAGGGAGAGGGAGAAGCAGACTCTCCACCGAGCAGAGCGCCCGACGTGGGGCTCGATCCCACGACCCTGAGATCATGACCTGAGCCGAAGGCAGACGTCCAACTGACTGAGCCACCCAGGCGCCCCTTGGAGATTCTTCTATATCAGCATGTAAGATCCTACCTCATTGTCCCCAAAGCTCCTAAGTTTCCTAAGAATCCCACAGGGGATTCACTTGGCCTCAGACCTGCTGCTGCTACAAACAGGGCCACAGTGCTTGCCTCCCACGACATGCGGTGGATGGACGCCTGAGGGAAGTTCCTAGGAGCAGCCTGAGCTGTAAGAGGGAAGAACCCTGGCTAACCGGCTAGCTGGTTAAGCATCACCAGGGGGCTGAACCAGCGCTTGGCACCTCGGCCGCCTCTTCCCACTCCACCTCCGGGCGGCTCCACTGCTCCCGGATCAGGGCTCCCACTCCACCCTCCTAGCACACAGGCAGCCACCAGGGGATGCGTGAGAGGTCAGCAAGTGGCGTCAGACTCTACTGAGGAAAGCCAGTGGGACCCAACTGCAGAACACGTGAATTAGGTGTGTGGGTTTAAAAAAAACCCCCAAAGCCCACATGCAAAGTGTCCTTGGGAGGAGCTGGCCCCTGCCTTGTGTTCCTAGCTCTGTGTTGACGCACATGTCCAATTTCCAAAAACTCTAAGGGCACAGTAAAAACGCTTAACAATGCAACAGCAAACACACTTTTATCTTCCTTAGGGCACGCAGGAGTCCCTTCCTGTCTTCAGGGCTGGAAGCGCTTATAAATGCCCATCACGGGCAGCAGGACCACTTGGCTTCTGTGAGAGCTTCTGTGCAGAAGAAGAGGTGTGTGTTCTCTCAAATGTGCGATGTTCGCTCGGGTCTTGCCCATGCAGCAGCCACATGCTCTTCTCGCTACGACCCTGGACTTGCCACGGTTACCCGCCATCTGGGATGGACCGCTCACATCTTTTTCAGAATGCCACTGATAAATTCTGGTCAAGTGTCTGCTCAAAATGCTGAAGACCCTCAGTTAGGATGCCTACCGCCTTCCTGTGCCCGGTCACCTTACTTATAAGGTCAAAAGCGCAGCCTGTGAGGAACTCACAACATCCTCCACATATAAACTGAGAAAACCGAGGCACAGAAAGATTAAGCCTGGGTCTCTATCAGGTGAAGAAGAATTTGAGTCCAGAGGCTTCTCTGACCCCTGCAGCTCCACAGGGTCCCATCCTCACCCTCAACCCAAGGGCCTACTGTTCCCCCACCTCCCAGCAACCTCTAGCTGAAAAGGAACAGAAACACCCGTCAAAGTTGTGCGTTCTGCACAGGAACCATGTTGGCCAAGTGGAATGGGACTGAGTTACCCTGAGGAGCCCTCTCTGCACCAACATCCAGCACCTTCTCCCTGCAGCTTTTGACGTGTCACGGTTCACGTGGCAGGGTGAGGAGTCAGGATGCACACTGCAGATCAGGCAGGAAAGACTGGCCCGACCTCTTCACAGGTCCTGCAGGACTTGGTGACATCAGCGCCGGGCTGCCCCAACTCCTGCACCTGTGGGGCTGGCATGCCAGTTCCTTGTTCACAGCCTGGGGATCCCAGGGCTACTGCCCTCTGACCCCCGAGCACGCAGGGCAGACACTCAGGCCCTGACCCACCGGCCGGGGAACAGGTTAGGGGCAGAGGGCCAGAGCCACGAGAAGGCCAGTGGGGACCACCCGTTAGTGTCACGTGGCAAACCCCAGCTGCTGCCCCCTCCCTCCGTCTGGAAGCTGCAAACACAGTTACTGTGAGGCAAACCAAGGCATGCTGGCGGCGGAGACCCCTGCACTTCACTCAAGTGCTTCCTCAGCCTCCAGGCCTGAGGGGCTCTGCGGGGCCCGGGCAGCAGGCAGGGCAAACACTGTCTCTGCAGGAGCAGGGGGCAGGGGGGCTCGTTGCCACGCTTTACAGGCAGAGAACACGGGCCCTTCCCTTCTTGAGAACGTGCTTCCTCACGCTTCCCTACAGCGGCTGACTCAGGGCCTCACGGAGCAGCACCCTCACACAAAGCCGACCAACAGCACCCCAGGCCCTGGCTCCCGCCCGCCCCAGGGCTGTGCTCCCACCCACACCACCCCCTCCCGTCCCTGAGGATGGGAAGACAGGTCTGGTGCTCCCCTTTATCGGGGCTCTGCTCAGTGGGGAGGCTTTCAGTCACAGCTGCCTAGGACAGTCAAGTAGCCAAGGCGGGGCTTGGCATCCACAAGCCATTTGCAGTTGGGGGACAGGTAATGTTAAAAATGGCCAGTTGACCTTCCTTACCAACTTAGCCCCCATTCTTCAAGACAAATTCCAGGTCTGAGAGAGCATATGGCAACCACCCCCAACCTAGATGGCCATCCCTCACCTCTGTGCCCCCGACCCCCTGGCCCTGGAGGACAAACGGGCCCCTGACTCAGACCCCAGGCATGGCACCTGCCCTCGCAGGTCCTAGACTGGACCTGCACTGGCAAACAGCCCAGGTCCCCAAATGTCTACCAGCTCCATCCCACTCCCACAGCGCCTGTCTCCCTGCTGCACAGCATGCTGGGGGCACTGAGACACGAGACGCTGTGCCCACCCTCTGAAAACGGATTAAGAAAAGCAACACAAGCAGTAACAATAAAACTTACATTTATTAAGCAACCCCTGTGTGCCGAGCAACAAAGAGGGGTCTGCATGCCAGGTAAGTCCCGGTGTGCAGGGCCCCCTCCAGTGTGCCCAAGCCCAGCCACATGGCCCACAGAAATGACTGCAACCCCCCCCTCCTGTGGCAGTGGGGGCACAGCGCTGCCAGTGGGGAATCCCTGGTCCCCAACCAGGGGAAAGCGGCCAGGGCGGCTCCCAGCCTGCAGGCCACCTCGCCGGGTGCAGGGACCAATGGAGTTTGCTGGGACACACCGCCCATCTCCACCTCAGGGGCCCTGGAAAAGTCACATTCCCTGTGGTTCTCACAGAAGGGCAGTTCTGCCTACGTCTCCCGTGCACCGAAACGGTGTTTGCTCACTATGAGAGAAACCACGTTGGCACACAGCCCCGCTCCCCAGAGCAGGCTGGCTCTCCCAGCCCCTCCCGTTTTGGTCCCGTGACCTGCTCCATGCAGACCACTGGTGGGACCACCCGTGACTCCTTCAATCTTCCATACCCTCTTACACAGGCCACGTGTGGGACTACCTGCAACTCCCTCGATCTTCTAGACCCTTCCTACCCTTGCACCTTGGCTTTCCTTCTCTAGAACACCCCTACCCCACACGCTCTCCGTTATGGGTTACACTGTGTTCCCCAAGATATTATCTTCCAGTCTTAATCCCCAGTACCTGCGAATGTGGCCTTATTTGGAGATAATGGTCTTTGCAGATAGGATCAAGTTAAGGTGAGATCAGACTGAAGACGAGTGGGCCCTAAACCCTCTGACTGGCATCCTTGAGAGAAGAGGGGAAATTTGGACACAGAGGAGACCACTACATGAAGACCAAGGCAGAGACGGGGGTGATGCGTCTACAAGCCGGGAGCACCAGGAGCTCAGAGAAAAAAATATATAGCAGATCCTCCCTGAAAGTCACGAGAAAGCCCCCAAAAGTCACCAACCCCGCCAACACCTTAATTTTGAACATCTGGCCTCCATGCTGTGAGAAAATAAATTTCTGTTGTTTTAAACAGCTTTTTTGTGACATCATGGCAGCCACAGAAAACGCACACAGCTGCCTTTCCCAGACACTCCCGCTGACAAGACCCCTGTCGTAGATGCTCTAGTACGGACTGAGCACCAACTGTGCCAGGCACTGTGCCCCGAAAGGCACGCAACAAGGGATAAACCGGTGACTCGCAAACTTAGGAGCCCACAAACTTCTGCTCAAGTACACCCTAAGGACAAGTTGTATACTTCCCGCTGTCACTACCAAGCTAGCTCCCAAGCAACCCCTGGCTTCTCTCAACCCTCCGAGCACGAGTGTAAGACACGGACCTCTGAGCCCCCCCCAGACTGGCAACAGGAGCCCTGGCTACATCCATGCGCTGCCAACACACGAAGGCAAGTACAGGGACTGCTAGCCCCATCAGGTCAAATCAGACGAGCGCCTGAACTGAAGACCCATTTTCAACGGTCGGCAGGTTTCCGTCTTTCTGCCCTGTTGTCTGGGAGCAGTGCTCTGACACACACACTTCTGCTTGGAGACTTTGGGGAGTGTTCCTAGCGGGTGAGAGCAAAGTACAAATAACCCAGTGACTGTCAGACCAAAGGCGGCTTCGGGAACGGTCACTGCGCTCATCGCACTCGAGCTCCAAAAGCCAAGGTGCCGGGGGGGACGCCCCCGGATCGCCCAAGTGTGCCTCTGAGCGGATCGCCTGACCCTCTGCCCAGCCAAGCATTCCCGGGTCAAGTCCTGGCTCCGGAAGACCCCCGTCTGGGCTTGTCTCCCGGCAAAGCACTTGGCTTCGCTGTATCTCAGGCTCCTCGTCTGTAAAACAGGGTGATGGGGAGTGCCGCAAAGAATTAAATGGGTTGAGGTCTGCAGAGCCCTTGCGCGGTGCCGAGCGTGCAGAGCGCGCCACGTAAACGCTCGCTGAACGGAAAGCACGGTCCGCTCCTCCGCCCACGTTCCTGCCTCCTGTAGGGCCTCTTCCCGGTTTGCAGCTGAGGTTCCCTGTCGAGTACCAACCGCAGCAAACGTAGTCTCCGCAGGGAAGAGACTGAGGACAAGGTCCACAAGGTCCTGGCGGGCCATTAAGGACGGGGGCCGCGGTCATCACGGGGACCCCCGGGGGCGTGGGGAGCTAGTGGGAACCAGGGCGAACGCGACCCAAGAACCCGGAGGCCAGGGAGAAATCAGGGCAGCCGCGGAAGGCGCTGCGAAAACGCGGACGGGACGAATAACGCCGGTTCCCCTCCGAACCTGCCGTCTAAGGAGAAGCGGGGGGACATTTACGGTCTCGACCTGACAGCGTCAGAGACGCCCGCACAGCCCCGCGAGCGTCCTCTCGGTAGAGCCGCAGGCCGCACCTACGGGACGCGGGAAGGGCTGTGCAGCGGACCGGGAAGGCCTCCGTCCGCGGAGGAGGCTGGCGGCGGGGTCGCGCTGGGAAGCGCCCGGACGCGCGCGCGGGCCGCCAAGCGTGGCCGGCAGGTCGGCGTCCCCGCCGCCCCCGCCGCCGCCCCCCGAGCGCCCGGGCCCCGCCGCCAGCCGGGCGGGCCCCGGCTTTGTTCGAGCCCCGCGCCCCGCCCCGCGCGCGCGCCCCGGCCCACCTTCTGGATGGTTTGCTGCGTGACCTCCCCCTTGCCTCGCGGCCGGGCGGACGCGAAGGCCACCGACATGGCGGCGCGCGGGGCCGGCCCGAGGTCCCCGGGGCTCCCGCTCCGGCGGCGCTCGGCGGCCGCGGGCGCTCATTCTCCGCAGTCGCGCGGCGGGGGCCGGGGGCGGGGCGGGGCGCGCGGGGGGCGCCGCGTCGTGGGCTCGCCCGCCCCGCCGCCCCCGCGCGCTGCCCCGCGCCCGCCGCCCCGCCCGGCCCGGCCCGCGCGCCGCCCGGCCCCGCCGCCGAGCTCCAGGGGGCGCCCCCGGGCGGCCGCGCCGCGCCCGCGTCTGGCCCGCGCCGCCGCGCCGCCCCCCGCGCCCGGCCGCCGGTGGTTCGGCCCGGCCCCGCCCCGGCGCGCGCGCACGTCCGCCGCGCAGTGCGACGCCGCCTGACGCCGCCGTACGCCCGCCGCGCAGTGCGCAGCGGCGCGCGCAGAGGCGTCGTGCGTCGCGGGCCTGCGGCGGTGAGTGTGCGCCTTTCCGGGGCCCCGCGCGACGCCGGCATGAGCTACGACCGCGCCATCACCGTCTTCTCGCCCGACGGCCACCTCTTCCAAGTGGAGTACGCGCAGGAGGCCGTGAAGAAGGGCTCGACCGCGGTGAGCGGCGGCCGGCGGGGCCTGGCGCGCGGGCCGGGGCACAGGCGGGGACGGCCGTGCCGACGGCCCCGTCTGTCGCAGGCGGGCGTTCGGCCCGGGTGGCTCCGTGGTGGGCCCCGCGGCGTTGGCGGACCCGGGAGCCGGTGGACGTGCTGCGGGAAGCGGGAGGGGGCGCGTCTGCGGGCCGCGGCTGCTGGGGCCCGGGGGCCTGCTGGCGCCGCCCGCCGAGCGGCGGCCTCTCGCCCGGGGCGGTTGCGGTGGACGAGCGCGGCCAGCGGCGCCAGGGTGCGCGCTGAGCTGCGGAGGAGCGGTGCTGTTTCCCCCGGGCGGCTCAGAGGGTGTGAGCGGCCTCGGGGGCGGCCATCTTGGCGGTCCCCCCGCAAGGCCCCGGGCCCGGCCCGCGCGCGTCGGCCGCAGGGAGGCTCGTGGCGGGCCCCGTGAGCCCTTGACGCGAGCAGCTTAGGGGCGCCGCTCCCGCGAGGTTCCCGCTTCAGGACCTGCCCCGCTGGGGGAAGCACTGTCCTCAAGGTCCGGTGGGCTTCAGGAGCCAAGGGAAGCAGGGGCTGTGCATCGGCGGTGCCGCGGGGAGCCCTCCACCGGGTTGGGCCGTGTGTTGATGCATTTTCCTGTCGGCACCTGAGCACAAGCTTGACATTTTGACCACCATTGGAAACTTAAATTCGGGACGTCTTCGAGACACCTGTCGGTTTGCTTCTTGGTCAGACTGCATGATGGTTTTTGTGGGTTTTTTTTTTTTTTTTACCATCTGTTGTTTCAGAGATTTGAGCCAGAACAGAGAGAAAGTATGCACAACTCTGAATTGTGACGTGTTTTCGTTTACTGAATCTTTTGTGAAATTCAGGTCCAAAATCCATCTTGTGACCTATCTTAAGTTAAAGAGCACGGAAGAGGAGCTGCTTGGGACATTCCCCCATCCCCTAGTACTCCCTCAGGCCAGCCCGGGTGGCTGGCTTTGCTTAATCCTCCCAGCGCCTCTGGGCCTGGTCTCCCCCGACACCCACCCCCAGGGAATTTAAGACGGGAGAACCGGCCTCAAAATCTGAAACACTACAAACCAGCACTTCTCAACTGCAAGGGGGGGGGGGTGGCCGTGGATTTTGCACCCCAAGGGGCATCTGGCAACGGGTGGAGACATTTTTCTTTGCCCTAGACTGTGAAGTGCTACTGGCTGAGCTTTAGGGGTAGAGGTGGGGGGCAGCCCCACCTCAAAGAATCAGCCAGCCCCAATGCCCATAGTACCCTGGCTGGGAAATCTGCCCCAAGCTAAGTCTTGTTACTCTTCCAAGTGTTGTCCCATTCGTATCTGCTCCTGCCCTGATGAGGGACAGTTAACTGGCCATTGGGGATTTTTCCATGTTTTTAAAACATCCCTCTTACCTCTACAGTATCTGCTATACACAGAGAGCAGCTGAGTTCCCAGGAAGAGTTGTTACGGTTGTCCTTCCACCTGATAGCAAATCGGGCCTTCCCCACAGCTGTGCACATCAGTGTGTCATAGTGTAGGACGGAGTGGGGTGGGTTTTAGTATAATTTCACAACTACAAAAACACTGCATTCAGAACATTTGACTTGAATGTCAGGGTTTCGCGGTTCAAAACCTTGTATGTGACTCTTTGATACACTAGTTACTTCTATTGTCATTGAAACTGTGTATCAGTATGTTCAAGGCACAGGACTGGGCACCCCGGTCATGACACCTGGGCTAGCTCTGCCAGAAATGGATCAGCGTCCGCGATCTGCCGGTGTGGTGTCCAGCCCCAGGGTGCTCCCAGGACCACGTTACCATCTGCTTAGTGCTCTGTGTCTCCTGGGAGAACCTCTTGTCACTTTCTTAAGTACCGTGTTGACTTTTATTGAAGGTTGGCGTGCGGGGAAAGGACATTGTTGTTCTGGGCGTAGAGAAGAAGTCAGTGGCCAAGCTGCAGGATGAGAGAACGGTGCGCAAGATCTGTGCGTTGGATGACAACGTGTGCATGGCATTTGCAGGTGAGTCTGAGGCCGGTGCCCTGTTTCTCAGAGGTCAGTAAAGATCAGCCCTTTGGGGGCTATCTTGGCGGGTTTGTTCTTGGAAGATACGTAAATTGGTAAACTAGAAGTCGTTTAAAAGCGGTAGATTTGGACTTGCGGAAACAAAAAGGCTTGACCATGCTTTCTCGGGGCCCCTGGACCAAGGCCTGCGCCGTTGGCAGCGCGTGACTGGATCGAAGTTAAGAGTCTCGAGACAGTTGGGCTTTCCACGGCCATGGCACCCTGCTGTGGGGTTGTGCAGGGTGCTCTCCCCGCTCACGTGGCTTCCTGCACTCCTCCCTGCAGGTCCACTGTAGGAAGATCCCAGTTCATCTGAGCTAAACTAGGGATTGACTTGCTTTGTCTGAGCTGCTCACAGAGGCTGATCATTGCACCGTCAGTCACCCAGATGACCTGAGAGCTGGGTGTCAGAGGAATGGTTTGAGAGCGCGACTTCTGTCTGGTTACGGGGCCTGGGCCATCCCCAGTGGGAGCAGATGAGGGGTGGGTCAGGTCAGGTGGCGTTCTCTCTGTTGTTGCAGGGCTCACCGCGGACGCGCGGATAGTCATCAACAGGGCCCGGGTGGAGTGCCAGAGCCACCGGCTGACAGTGGAGGATCCAGTCACCGTGGAGTATATCACCCGCTACATCGCCAGTCTGAAGCAGGTGGGGACCCCTACCTGTGGCTCGGCTCTGGTCACGCAGAGCGTCCTGCCCCAGTAGTTCGTGGTACTGTGTGTACATGTTTGCACGTGTCACTTCAGGGGAATCAGAAAACTGCCCTGACTTCATGCACAGTCCTGCTCTTCATTCGTACAAGTGTAGTTTCCTACAGCTTATCCACTTCGGTGGCATTACTGTCATTTAGTGGCATGGGACAGTCCTGGAGGGAAATGGTAGTTTTTGTTTTGATGTCCTGCGTGACGGGTTACCCAGCACTTGGGAGATGCTGAAAGCCACCCCCACCTTATGGTGAAACGCTAGTCATTTTAAAACCAACTGTGTAGCCAGAAGTGTGTCTGTTGTCAAGAGTAGCTCCAGTGGCCTTGGTTGTGCTCTGTGACACAGTTCTGCTCACAGGTTTAGCTTTTGTGTCTTTCTGAGTAAGAACGCACAGAGGGAAGGAGGACTGCCCGGCGCTGTGGCCTCCGCTCACCCGTCACGTGCATCACAGATAACCTGAGAGCATCTTCATCCCCTCAGGGAAAGCACAGCTGTTCCGAATGCCGTGTGTGTTGCTCAGGGTGGGTTCCGGGGGCCTTGCGTGCTAAGAAGATAGCGTTAACATGTTCCTTTTCCCACCAGCGCTATACACAGAGCAACGGGCGCAGGCCGTTTGGCATCTCTGCCCTTATTGTGGGTTTCGACTTTGATGGCACCCCCAGACTCTATCAGACTGACCCCTCAGGGACATACCACGCCTGGAAGGTGAGTCCCTGACCAGACCGAGGGTCTTCGGGTGGTCTTGCCAGTGAAGGAGGTTGCAGAGGCCAGCCTGGTGGCTCAAGGTGGCCTTGTCCTCCCAGTGCCTGTGCACACTACACGCCACCTGTCTGCTCCACGATATTTCTGCTGATAATGGGAGCAAGGAAGTCATGACACCTGCCCTTTGAGACAAAGTCCAAGGACAGTGAGGTGTGGGGATACGTGGCATAAAGTCAAATTGCCCAGGTGTTTTCAGTCATGAAAAAGAATCCCACTCTTGGTGAGGATCAGCATCAATTTCAAAAAGCCCTTCGGGAAAGGAAGCCATGGAGCAGGGCCTGGAATCTGCCTGCTGCCAGGCTCCCTCTCACTGGGACCCATGGCTGGCTTGGCAGCCATGGCCATGTTCTTGAGCTGGCTCTGGACTGTCGTGCCTTATACCACATGACACATTTTTGTTTTAGGCCAATGCCATAGGCCGGGGTGCCAAGTCAGTGCGTGAATTTCTGGAGAAGAATTATACTGATGAAGCCATTGAGACAGACGACCTGACCATTAAGCTGGTTATCAAGGCCCTCCTGGAAGTGCGTTTGCATTTGAAACCCGGTGCTTGGGCTAGGCAGAAGGGAGGGCGCAGCAGTGGGCGGACAGACGGCGCAGAAGTGGGTGGCCGGGGGCGGGGGGGGGCGGGGAGGCGCTGAGAGTATGGGCGGTAACACTGGGCCCCTGAGGGCTTGCTCTGACCCGGGTGCTCTAGCAGCTCCTTCCCGCGGCCCGGGCAGTCAGGGACCAGGTCTGAGAGCGCACAGATAAGGAGAAGCAGAGGCAGGACAGGAGCCGCCAGGTGTGGACTCTGCCACTCAGAGCCCGCCCAGCCTTGCTGAGGTTCCTGCTGCTGCTGAGGTCGGGGAACTAGAACGGAGAACGGTGCCTGGGAGTCATGAGGCCTTGGGCTGCGTCAGCACTTCAGAGGTGCTGGCAGGTAAAGCCAAAGAGGCAGAGGGGGAGTCAGAAGGCCAGGCTGGGGTCCAGCTGTCGGGGCTTAGTGGTGGGGAGGGCTGTGAGCATAGCCGCTCTGTGGAAGAAGGGGCTGTGGGAGGCAGGCTGGGGAGAGCCCTGCAGTTAGGACAGAAGCTCTGGGGGTTGGGGCTGCAGGGTGTCCCCCCGCCCCCCGCCGAGGGGCAGTATTTGAGGCTTTGCCAGAGCTGTTGCTGTGTCTGACGCTATTCTCTTCCAAGGTGGTTCAGTCTGGCGGCAAAAACATCGAACTGGCTGTCATGAGGCGAGATCAACCCCTCAAGGTAATCACTAAGTTTATTTGCTTTCATTCTGGAGCATTCCCGGTGATGCGGGGGGCAGGGACCCTTGTCCTGCAGCTTCAGTGCTAGGAGAGAGGTTCTCCCAAGGCCTCCCACAAATGATGTGCTCTTGACACACTGAAAAGCTGTCAGCAGCCCAGCAGATTTGCTTCTGCTTTTCCGTTGCCTACAGGCAGGGTCAAGACTGTTGTCACCTGGGTCAGGCACACTCAGGCTGGTTTTCCTGTAGAAGCAGCTGTGAGGTGCAGTCTGGCCCGAGCCCGAGAGTTCCCTCCCCAGAGGCGGCACTGGTGCTCCAGGGCACCTTGTGTGGCTTGGGGGCCAACCATAAACTTTCTCCGGTAGATTTTAAATCCTGAAGAAATTGAGAAGTATGTTGCTGAGATTGAAAAAGAGAAAGAAGAAAACGAAAAGAAGAAACAAAAGAAAGCATCATGATGATGAAATCTTACAGTGATTTTTAAATTCAGATCATGGATGATTCTCAAAATGATATGTAGGCATTTCCATTCCATTTACTGTCCACGTGTCCTGCAATAAATTTCCGTATTTGTTAACCTCTTCTTAAGAGCATCTGTGTCTTGGTGGAATTATGACCGCTCCGTAGAGTGGAGTCTTCCCCTCAGCTTGTGTCTCGGGAGTGCTGTCCTTAGTGGGAGCTCTCCTTCATGTTCCTTGTCACCAGGCTCTGAGACAAGGCACTGGTGGCGGGCAGGGGGTGTCCGCCTTACTGGTTTGAGTCCACGCAGAGCATGATGGCTTCTGTAGACAGAGGTGCGTAGCACTTCACATGGACACAGAAAACGCCCATGTTTCCCTCCTTTAGAGGTTCTAACCAGACCGACCTTGTTCCTTAGAGACCTTCACACAAGCTCCTAATTCACAGAACACGAGGGACACAAGCACAAACAGCACTCAGTTAAGTGTTTGAACAAAATTCTGCCGAGCAGCGGCTGGGTTCCGAACAAGTCCCGTATTTCTGGTTTGTAGTAGATCAAGTCTTAACATTGCTGTCCTCTCCCCCAAGATTCCTGGTGCTGACGGCCCCCTGCTCGCTCTCACTCTAGCCGGTGACTGCCCTGCTTTCATTGAGCCTCAGTCCTGGCCCTCCGCTAGGTCTCCGCAGGAGACTCTAACCCCTGCGCCCGCAGCTTTGCTGCTGCTTGGGACGCTCTGCTAGCAGGCCTGCTGACAGAATCCCCTTCTGTCTCCCTGTGCCCCGAGGACGTGGCACAAAGGACTCTGCTTTCAGCTCAGTTTACGGCTTCTCTTGCTGAGTTCTCACTGAATGGCACATACACATTCTATTTTCTAAAAAGGAATAAAAAGTCCCAGGTAGATTTTAAGTTCAGCATAAAATATGTAATTATCAAAATGTCAGTTTAAAATTTTAATAGCAAAGTTAGTCACAGTGGTAAACTGACTTGACTATATTTAGATTTGCCAGCAGAAATACCTGTCTAGTGCAACTGCTGAGTCACCTACTTAGTTTAGAATCAGCGCCCCGGCTACCTGCATCTAGCATGTACGCTATGGAAGCTTTTCATTTCTTCCTGGCCAAGGATGTTCCTTGTCTGTGCCCACCCCCGCAAAGGAAGGTTGCCAAGAATTTGTTGAAATTTTGAAAGTGACAATGGGGCCCTGATGTTGCAGGCTGACTCCCCGCTGCCTGGTCCTGCTCTGGGCAGGCATGGAGGGAGATGCGACACGGCGGACAGGATGGGCCTTAAGTCGTCTGTCACTGCTTTCAGAGTCAGCCAAACCCATGACAGCCAAATGGGCTGCTTTCATGCATGGTGCTGGGGTCCAGCCCCGTAACAGGCCCGACGGTACCAAAGATGTGCAAGCTCTGGGGAGCTTGGAGGTTGTAGTAAAGCAACAAAGGGACCGCTTCTGAAGCAAGTTTATCTGTGAACTGAATTTTTAAAACTAGTTTGTGTCCCAAGTGTCTGGAAAGCAGAGCCACTCATTCCAGGGAGGTGGCCCGCTGTGAAGTTGGGCTGACCCATGCATGCCCTTTCTCCAGAGCAGCCAGGGCAGTCTCACTCGAACAGATGTCCCCCAGGATCCTACCAGCCTGAGGCCGGAACATGCCCCAGGACGGGCGTGTCAGACATGAGGTGACTCAGGCAGCAGAATCAACAGAACTATTTACTTTCAGAGCAGTAAAAAAAAGTTTTAAAGGTTTGCATGTTTATTTATAATTACAATTTACATTACTCCAACAGAGCAGCCCATTGCTATGTTCTATTTCTTAGCCATTAAGTCCTACAAAAATAAACCCAAGCTTTTACAGTAACTGAATCAACACAGAACTAAAACCTTTATAGCTATTTAAAGGGGTTTAGTTACCAAGGTGCTTATGTTCAACACAATACCCTCTCCAGAAGAAGGGCGCATGCTTACACTAAAGGTCTGACCCATTTACTCATGCAACAAATTTATATTCCCCACCCACCCTCCACCCACTGTAAAACAAAAACACAACTATTTACAATTGAGAAGAAATATGTTCTCGGTCAACCGACCTTGCAAAAAAGACTGGCTCATTTCCAAGTGGATGAGACACTGAACAGTGGCCAGAGTCCAACACTGACTGGCCTGGGTCTGAGGATGTCAGGGGCAGGGCAGGAAGGATAGGTACCCCACAGTGGGGCTTGCCCTGGGCTTTGGCCCCCAACCCCGATTCCTATGGAAGTCAGGCTCTGAGCGACAGTTCCTAGCTCATGTTCAGGACCCCTTCCTAAGCCTCCAGGATTCTCCCTCTTCCCCGCCCTCCCCCCACCCCCGCCAACCCACCAGCCCTCAACCTTGACATCGCCACTCTGGATGTAAGGGTTGTCTGGTTTGCTTATACAACATGATCCGTGGGACACCCCACTTTCCCTGCCCTAAAGCCCACCCCCATACACACACACTCCCATGCTGGCCCTGCCTGGCTCCTGAGACCCCACCTGTGCCCATGGGGGTGCCAGGCCAGCAGCACCAGAGGCCAGTTGGGTTATAGAGATAAGCTTGGCTGTCACATTGACCAAATGAAATTTGGTTCCACTTTAAAAAAGTCAAAGCTGTCACACACACAAAAAAAAGCCACAAAGTGAGGATCAAGCTTTTGCTCTAGAAATCTCCTTCCAAAATACCAAAACCTTAGAATTAGGCTGTGCGTAACTAAAGAGGAAAGACAGGCCAAGATACCTCAAAGAGGTTACCCACAAATACTTCCCCCAAAACAAGTGGTTCTAACTCAGACCACGTCCAAGTTCAATTAAGTCCAAAACATTAGTAGTACGGGAATTTTCCAAACTCCGTAAACAAAGTGACCCACGACGTCTCCCCAGTAAGTGCAGCGTTTTTCCAATATCCTCAGACACAGCTTTGTTTCGGTACTACTTCCGCAGGCGCCTGCAAGAAGGGGACAGGACACCAGGTGAGTACGCTCAGCACATTCCGCCAGGCAGCCACCCAGCGTGAGCCAGGCACACAGCCTCCCAGGGAGAACAGGGATGCTCAGCCCCCCTCACACTTCAATCAGGCCCAGGCCCCCCAGACTTTGCAATCACAACCAACGATGGAAATCATCTTTGTACACACGGGGGACAGGAAGCTCCGGGTCCCTCCTGGCCGGGGCAGGTAAGCACCAGGCACACCTGTAACCCATTCACCGCCCAGACCCACGGAACACAAGTCACCGGGACCTTGGTGATGTAGTCTCAGAGTCCCTGCAGGCCGGGGCGGGGAGGCTGGCTTGGGACAAGCTGTTCTTGCTGACCACACTCTGACAACACCGGGGCCTGCCCTCCCCAGGAGCCCCCTGGGTGACTGGGAGGGTCCGAGCCCTCGTCTTGGCCTGGATTCCTGGAGGCTTCCCCCCTTACTGGAAACCAGAGCCAACCGTCTCCCGGCTCCTGAGCTCTTCCTGCAGAGGCTGGTTATCAGGCCCTCCCACCAAAGGACCCAGAAGCCTCCTTCCCTCACTCACCTTGGGCTGCATCCTTACACCCTGCCAGTCCCAGCTCTGTGGGAAGTTGGGTTGCGACGGGCTGTACCGTTGCCCCTGCCCCCTCGAAATCCACCCCTGAAGCTACGGCCGCGAAGAAACCTTCCTGACACCCCAAAGGTCTCTGTGTTGAGCTTCCGTTCCTCAGCCCATGTAGTCCGCCTGGAACTGAAGCACAGAGAGGTACATGAGACCAAAGGCAACAGTACATGTGCTCACCACTTTCTGAGCCAGGCCCCAGCCTCACACAGCACAGGAGGAAGGAAAGCCGAGCAGGGAGGGACTGTTGCTGGAGCCAGCAGAGGGGGTGACCCAGTCCCGGCCCTGCAGCCAGAGAGCCAACACTGCAGGTGCTCCCAGCCACATCTCCAAGCAGGTCTGTTTCTCACTGGACTAGTCTGCTCAGCATCAACTCTCACGCCTTTACCAACAAAGGTGAGCACGCGACACTAGACAGTGCCCCTGTGGGTTCCAAGACCCGGAGCAGACCACGGACCCCTTCAGACAAGTTTTTAGGATGTGAGGAGGGGCTTGGGCTGGATGGAACAGGGTCTCCAAGAAGGTGATGCTAATGCTCTGGGGGGAGTGGGGACATGCACGCTGCCCCAGCACCCTTCATACTGAGGATGCTGCAACACCCACCTCTGTAGCTCAGGGGCGAAGCCCCAAGTCTGTTCACAGGCAGCTCACAGGCCACACACCCAGCACTGAGCTCCTGTTCTATGGCCCCCACAGGCCTCACTTCAAAGAACCAGCAGCTGCCCCCTTCAGCTGCCCAGGCCAACAACCCAGAGAATTGTGCTGGTTCTCCCCACATCCAGTCAGCAAACCCGGTCTGCTCCCCCTTCAAGGTGCATTCATAAGCCAAGCTCTCTCCTCTCCCACCACTTGCCACCCTATTCCCAAACACCCAGACTACTGCGAAAGCCTCCAGATGGGCCACCCAGCCTCACGCCGGCCCACCTTCAGCATGTTCAGCAGAAAGAGCTGCGGGATCAGATGGCATAGTTCCTCAGCTCCGACCCTGACAGCTGCCCACGGCTCTCAGCACGAGCTGGTCGTCACTGTGACCTACTACTAAGCCCCACACGCACACGTCCCCCTCATCCCGGACCGACTCTCTTGGACTCTGCTCTAGCACGAGGCAGATGCACACTGCCTGCCTTGCCCCGGCAGCCTGTCTGCAGACGCTTCCTTCATTCCCCCCAACGCTGGCTCCCAAACACCACATGGTGTGAGACCTGCACACTCAGTAATTTACCTTTACCCTCCCACTGCCCAGCCTCGCCCCACCCCGTTCCCGGAAGCATTTCTATCCTAGGCATGCACATGTTTTTATCGTTTTTTTCCCCTGCCAGGATAGAGATGTGGGCAAGCAGGGACCCCCAGCTCGCTCTGTGCCGTGCTCTTGACACCCAGCAGCGTCTGGCGCTCCGAGCGCAGAACGAATGCGTCTGGATTTCCAAGCTGCGCCCACTCTATGGACTCCGTTTATCGTCCAGCCTGGTCTCATGGCAGCATCTGAGCACCAGCTGCGAGACACTAAAAACGCATGACGGGGTCCCCAGCCGCCAGCAGTAAGATGAAAGAACACCCCAAACAGAACACTGGCCAGCGCTGCGAGTAGCAAGGGCCTCAGACCCCAGGGTCCACGGGGACCCAGGAGCGGGCCAGGACGAGGTGCCGTGGAACCGAACGACGCAGCCGCTCAGCTGCGGAGGGCAGTGCCGAGCCCAGCCTTGACGGACAAAGGGGCTGCAAAGCCAAGACGAAAGTCGGGGCTGGACCTTGGTCAGACCCCTCACATGCCTGTGACTGCTGGGGGTTCCCACATTGCCACCTGCTGGCGCCACTAGGACCGATGTACCCACAGGGCAAAAATGTGAGTAGGATCCTAGATTGACCCTGAACTTAGGTCTCAGGCTGGTCTTCAAGAGAGCGTGCCCTAGTCTCAGGAGGTTTGAGGCAGAATGAGGGTCTGGACCTGCCAGCTCATCCAGGCCTCATGAGCCCCGAGCCCAGCGCCCTCCCGGCCCCTGACCTGGTCTTGAGCTCAGAGGAGATGTTGTCAAAGAAGGACTTGGACTTGTCATAGTAGCAGTTGGGCCCCAGGTGGTCTTCCTCAGCAGGGGCCTCATCACTCTGGGTCACCACTGCTGAGTCTTTCTCGTCCCCCTTCTCAGCTTTGTCATCTGCACGGAGAAGAACACACTGGGATGCCAAGAAGCAAACAAAGCACCCCTTCTACCAGAGTGGACCCTCTTGGCAGGTGTCCTCAAGCCTCAGAAGTGCTGCAGAGGGGTCTTCAGGGTTAGTGGAATCCCCTCCTCGAATCCTAACCAGTCCTGTCCACCCTGGGGCCACGTGGTCTGCTCCTCCTCCCCTTGCACAGTTTGCACAGGGCCCCAAGGCTCCTCCTCATTCAGGAACTCCTTAGGGGGCGCTGCTTCCACACTGGCCACTGGCCCAACTGCCCAGCCCCTCCCCGCCGCCCGTCCTTCCTTAACCTGCTTCTACAGATACTCCTTGGCGGAGAGAGCAATTTCCGAATAACGACAAACACCTTTAAAATTCAGTTTCTTCTTAAACTCTTTGTCCAGCTCCTCTCTGTTGAACTGGGCATTGGCGCTCTCAAAATCAAAGTCGCCTTCAAACTTGATTGTGTTTTCTTTGACATTAGTCGGGCGGTTTTGCCCTCTGGAGCGATTCCTTGTTCGTCTGTTCCCTGTAAGAAAGGAAAGCCATGGCTGGTAAGCCACCAACCTGACATTACTCAGTGTGAGATGGATGATAACAAGGAGGGAACAGAGCACACAGAAGCAGACACTGAGCCCCAGCACCCCCTAAAACCGTCACCCACAGGGACAAGGCGGGGGGGGGGCAAGCAGAGCACATCTGGACAGTTCGAGGCTCCCCAGAACTCAAGTGGCAACAGCTGTTACCTGATCTCCTCCTCTGAGGTCTTCTGTTCTCGTCATTCACCTGCCCTTGACTTTGCACAGCTGCCGGCTGAACTACATCTAAGGCGCAAAAGGTAAGAGTAAGGCAAGCGCCTACAAAAGCGGAGCCCAGCGATGGAAGCAGGGTGGCACCACCACGGGGGACATGCAGCAAGGGGAGGCCCTGCAAAAGCACATGGTGTTTAGGATGGGGGCAGGGATCAGTGTTTTTTAATTAAAAAAAAAAAAGAGAGAGAGAGAGGAGAGAAAGAAGAAGAACCCCAGGCAGCAGCGTGCCGCTTTGAGAACATGAAGCCAACTCCGGAGGAACGAAGTGTTCTAGTACCGCTGCTGGTCTTGCTGCTTGGCTGGGCGGGGCGCCCGCTGAGCTGCATCCCCACTGGGCCCTTGCCAGGTAACAGCTTTTTGGCGTTCAGGTTATCAACAGAACCAGTCTGGACAGCCTGCTCCACCATGGGGCTCTTGCCGACTGGGACGGATGGAAAACCAGCTCCTGAGACGGGAGGGGAAGGAGGGCTTAAAACCAGAGAGGAGAGAACCTCACGCCCCTCTAGCCATTCCTTCTGGGTGGCATGCCAGGCAGTTGAAGGTTACCGCCTCGAGACTCTCCCAATCCCCACCAAACCTCCCGGACCACCCCCTCTTGTCTAGCCAGGTGGTAACAAGGCCAGTTCATCCGGAAGCCCTGAGCCCCAGGATCCCCAAGCTAGGGAACGCCGAGGAGAGAAAAACACCCTGCCAAAAATGAACACCTCCCAGGTGGTTTAGAAACAGCTTTCCAGGGTAGGGAGGGGGACACAGAAAATAAACGAACAAACAAACAAAGCTTTCCAAAAACCACAGAAACTCTAACCCCAAGGGGGCTCCATGGGTTCCAAGATGCTGGCAAATTCACGGTCTGAGAATTTATTTCGTTCCAGTCCACGCTGGACAAGAACCATCCCAGTCCAGGATCTTGTAGTAAATACAGTGATCACTCTTTAAATTCTAAAACACTGTTGTGTCTGCTTGAGAAATAACAACATCGAAAAGGATGCTGTAATAAAAGCCGACTAAAGAAAAGTAACACATCTGGAGGAAACGAAGGCTCCCAGGCCGCCCCTGGAGTTGGGCCGTGTGAAGTCTGTTCCTACAACACCGCAGCCCCCAGCCCTGAGCACGGCAGCTGTGAGCTCAGAAGCCGAGCCTTGGAGGAGGTCTCAGCTCCCAAGGTGTCTGCTGAGGCAGGGAAAGGGAGAGGGCATGCCACCCACACTGGCCCATCTCCTCTCCTCCCCTCCCTGTACGGTCTAAGGGGGGGGCGGGGGTGCTGGGTGGAGGTCCAGAGCTTTGACCCAGAAAAACTGAGCCCTAACCTCAGACGTAACTATGATGAGAGGCAGCCCGTCACATGTGAAGACTGGCTCGTTCACCTTTCCTATTTTCCACGTGGCACAGACACTAAGGCAACGACTGTGAAAAATCCCTCATGGCCAGCACAGAAGCTGCTCGTGGCCTCGCACCCTGGCACCTGCAGGCGCGCTCAACAGGCACCACCCTAGAGCACCCTCCCCAGCCTGCCACCTTGCCCAGCAGGGCCTTCCCAGAGATGCAGCCGGACTGCTCCCGTCACACTCTAACTTGAGGGGGCAAGACTCTCAGGCTCCTTTGCTTTTGAGAAAACCAAACCAGTTAAACCATCTTGCCTTAGTAGCAATTTCATGCAAACAATCCAAAGAAAGATGAACTGTTTAATATAAGTTTTAACCGGGAAAAAACGTTACTGCTTCTACAACTCGAACACACTGGCATCCACGCAGGAGCAGAAAGCGACACGTGCAAAGTAACAGACTGACAGTAGTCGTGTGCCACAGTGGAAGCTCCGGGTGCGATCTTGGACCCAGCCTCTGCAGTGGTGAGGGCAGAGCTCCTGTGCTCTAACTCAGTCAGGCACGTGAATCTCCGCTCTCCAATGAAACGAGAACATCAGGAAAGGTCAAGAAGCCCCAAGAGGTGCCACAGCCCAGCTGAGACAGGTGGTGCACACCAGCATTAACAAGCTGGTCATTAGGTTGGGGCACCTGGGTGGCTCAGTCGTTAAGCGCCTGCCTTCGGCTCGGGTCATGATCCCAGGGTCCTGGGATCGAGCCCCGCATCGGGCTCCCTGCTTTAAAAATAAAATCTTTAAAAAAACAAAAAAAAAAAACAAAAAACAAGCCGGTCATTAGGCCCACACTATCCACCTGGTCAACAGCTCGAGCAAGTCTCCCAATTTTAAAGGGGCCTCACATTATAAAGACACCTGAGGCCCCTTGGATGACTGACAAATGTGGCACACAGATCCCAGAACAACACATGAGTTTCTCAGAGACACTCTCCTGCAGTCTCACCCAGCAATCTAGAACACATGTGGGACCAGCAGAAACCTCAGGGAAAGGCTTTCTGTGCAGAGGAAAAGTTCCCATGTCTGGCAGTCTCAGTACAGATCAAAACTGACCCTGGGCCCAGGGAGAGTGAAAGTGCTTGGTCAGTTCTTTCCAATCCCTTCTTTAAAACTCTGGGAGTTCGTTAATAAATCATGACTATGTACTGAATCGAATGGAAGCAGCTTAATCGACCCTTGGGCTTGGCTACAGCTACTGTCACTCTGGGCTACTGGTTTACCCCCTTGCTCTCAGGATGGCAAGACAGCATGCAGCTCTCCCAAACTGCGGTTACCCTTGGAAGTGAGCTGATGTGGCTCTGAGGACATGTCAAGCTCTGAGGCGGGCTGTGGAGATGGAGAGGAACTAGGGCTGGAAGCTGCGGCCGAGGCTGGAGGGCTCACCAGCTTCTCTAAAAGAAGACAGAGGAGAGAAGAGCAAAAGAGAAAGTACACAAATAAGTAACGAGACACTCGTCCTGTGTCTAGCAAGCTTGGAAGGAGCCAAGCAGTCCCTCGCAGGACACGTGGCTCACACAAACCTACTCTAGAAACACAGTGAGCCAGGCTGACAAGGGCACCCACACTAGGAGCAGCAATCAAGACAAGGTGATTAAAAAGTGATCTAAGAACCGGTCTACAGGGCCTGCTCACAGCCCTACGCTTGAATAGGAGCCTGCCAACTCCAGGGTTTGAACACATTGCAAAGCTGCGTCCAGGGCCAGGTAGACTCTCACTCTACACGTGCGGAAGAGAACCTCATTCCAGAGTTAGTTCACCTTTGGGGAAATAACTTTTGAGCAAAGCAGTGACAATAAAATGATTACAATAGATAAGATGTTGATTCAACTTTCGTATTTACAGGTTTACAAACGTGCCAATAGTTAGAACTCATCTGTAATCGCACATAACATTTGTTTCTTATTGAAGCAAATGTATCATGACTTCCACCCAGACCGACATTTCAAATAAATTTTGATTTGATTCATCTGTTCCAAAATTCAGACTGCTAACTCTTATACTCTCAATTGAGTAATTACTAAGCATTCTAACTAGCTGAAATTGCACTGAGTAATGTACTAAGCATGTGATACAAACTGAGTATCACAAGAACAGTGTCCCCACTATCAGGGTCTGTGGCCCTGCTTCCTGGAGGTCACAGCACGAGCAGTTTACCAGATAGAAACAGGTTACTCACCTAGGCCCAAGGAAGCGGCATACTGCTGGCTAAGCAGAGAGCTGGCAGCCAGCTGGCTGTAGGGTGGCATCCCTCTGAAGGGGCTGTAAGGCACGTGTGGCTGGAAGGAGGAGGCCGAGCCCGAGCCCAAGGAAGACTGAGCAACGAGACACACAAATGAGAGCAGCACAAGGCCCTCCCATCACCCACCTGGAAAGCACTGCTCAGACAGGGAAAAGCAGCCTGATTTGTCAGCCTCTCAGGCTGGAGGGCGCAGGTTACGTTTCCAGGATGATCTAAGGGAGCTCAAACCTGCCTTTCCCACATTTCATACCCAGCACTGCCTGTCCAGGTAACCCGAACCTCAATTTCCCCTAACTCAAGCCCTGTAATGATGCCCCACTGTCATCAAATAGTTTAGCCTCTGTGTGGGTATGCCATCCTCGATTTGGTTCTGTCCCAACACGGGAGCACAGCCGTGAGGTTCCCAGACAAGCACTCTTTCTCTGGTCCCCACACCTTCAGGGACACTGCTGTCTGTTGCTCCCAAAAGGCCCCTTTGTCCCTCGAGGCCTGGCTCAGGTACTTGCCTCTTCTGAAGTCCCTGACAACTCTCGTTGCAAACCTTTCCTAAGTCTGGCCCGGGGCTCCTCCACATGTCCCAGAATCCCCCACGCATGCTCCTATCTTCCAGGGAGCACCTCCCACAGTATGAACCTCAGAGGAGCCAGGGAATCTTTAAATTTTAAGTCAAGAGAATATTAACTGAGGCTCCCTGGTAATCCTAGGCAAATTATGCCTTAATGGGAACACCTGGTCATGTTAACCAACTGCCTTCGACTCAGGTCATGATCTCTGGGTCCTGGGATCTGTCCCGCATCTGGCTCCCTATTCATTGGGGTGTCTTCTTCTCCCTCTCCCCAATGCCCACCCCCCTCCCTCGTGCTCTCTCCCAAATAAATAATATCTTTAAAAAATAAACAAAAATTAAAGTTATGCCTTAGCGCAGCAAGCAGGTGTATGGTGTAAGAATTGCAAGTTCACTGTCCCACAACACTGGAATTTAAAATCTAGACAGTGTCAAGAGAGCAAGTCCTGCTGTCCCAACCCAAATGTGAGGACAAACACAATTCCCCAAACACCCCAGACAAGACTAGACCACCACTCCCTTCTCACACAAATGGAGAGTCTCACTCCACAGCACACACTACCGCATACTGAAGTTAAGACCTTTCATAGGGGGGCGCCTGGGTGGCTCAGTCGGTTGAGCGACTGCCTTCGGCTCGGGTCATGATCCTGGAGTCCCGGGATCGAGTCCCGCATCGGGCTCCCTGCTCGGTGGGGAGCCTGCTTCTCCCTCTGACCCTCCCCCCTCTCATGTGCTCTCTCTCTCTCTCATTCTCTCTGTCTCAAATAAATAAATAAAATCTTAAAAAAAAAAAAAAGACCTTTCATAGGAACACCAACAGCGGAGACAGAGATTAAACCACTTCTCACTGAAAGGCTATTCCTCGAGTTGAGCGCTCCCGCCAAACAGAGGACACCAAGTTCCATTTGGAAGGCAGCAACACACTTACTTGAACAATAGCAGGATCCTGAGGGAGTGTGTGCTGAGCTTTCGGAGGTTCACACACGGTAATATCTTTGATATCGCTTCCCCGGAAAATGATGTACTCATAGATTTCCTCTCTTGGGGGGGCCGGCCTATCTGTGGGACGGTCTTCAGTTCCAAAAGACCTCACTTCGGAGTGGAGAGAAAGAACCGTTAGGTTATCGTCCTCGGCCAAGGGCGCTCCATCCACCCTCTCCACGGCGGCTCTCAAGCATTCCACGACCGGCCCTGCCCCGCACACTATCACAGGAGAGCACTTGCGGTCCACCTTCCGACAGCTACCCCACCCCCCGATTTCCAATGGCCGATACCTACAAGGCCCCACTTGGCAATGCTCCAAAAGGTTCTAGGTCACAAAGACAACAAGTTAACGACATCCGAGCCTGACAACCCCGTGAAGTTTAACATTCTCAAGCGTGAACATGGGAAGCCCAGTGCCCTCAGCAAACCAGGTCAGCTTTGCAGAGCACCCCTGTTTACACCTGACTTCAAAGATTAAGCAGCCCGACAGCTGCTTTTTGCCTGAAGCCTCGTCCCACGTCGTCACCCCTGGGACTCTGTTTTGCTGGGAGGGAGTTGTTTTGCTAGGAGAGAAGCCTGGGGGTTGTTACCCTCATCCTCCCACAACCTGCCTGGGGAGGAGCTATTACAGAAACACGGGCAGAAGCGGGCCCAGAACCCGGACCCACAGCACCAGCTGTGTGTGCCCGAAGGCCTTCTCGGGGTTGTGGACCCTTACCAGCAGGGATTAAAGTCTCTCCAAGGCTGTCCTCCTCCAGTCTCTGGGGCAGAGCTGGGCTTGAGGCAGCCTCTATTTAACCTGAGCACAACTCGTGCCAAGGACAGAGACTCCGGGCCTCAGTTTCTCCAATGGGGATCTCAGGTCAAGCATACTCAAGCGCCAAGAGTACACGTCAGCACATACCCTTGTCTGTAATGCCGAATTCTCCCCTGGAGCAGTACGAACCAACGGCCTACCCTAGAACTTGGGAGGCTCTGCGTTAGGACACACTCCCAGAGTTTGGAAGGACGGCGTCCTGAAGGCCTAGAGCTCCCTCTGACAGAAGAAGGGTGCAAGCTGAGCCCTGATCCTTGAAAGCCTAGCAAGACCCATCAAACAAACAGGGTTTCTGCAGACCTGGCCGCACTCATCACCGCTCTCTGAGAGGCGAGGGTAGGACACTCGCCATCTTCCCCGGAGGATGAAGACAAAGAAACTTCGGAGCCACCTCCCGCCACAACAAGCTGGGACAAGATTCTGGGCTCCTCTAGAGCCACAATACAGCCTTCGGGCCCCAAGTCCCCCGGGGAGCCTGCATCAGGGCAAGAGAGCGCTTTACGCGGGGGCACCTAGCTGCCGGCCGACGCTCCCACCCTGGCAGGAGGTTCCATTAGGACGTGGTATTTGTTCAGGCTCAGGGCCCCGGCTGCTTAATCGGTTCCAGAAGGGCTTGCAGGACGCGCGTTCTGGGGGGGCCCCGGGCAGCCTCAAGCCCCTCGCCCCGCCCCCCCTCCGCAGGGACGCGGCCTTCCGCGCCCGCCCGGCCACACCGGCCCCCACCTGCAGAGCTGGGCTGAGCGAGGGAGGGGGCGGCGCGGCGGGAGCCGGACCCGCCCCCCCTCCCCTCCCCTCCCCTCCCCTCCCCTCCCTCGGGCTGGGCGGGCCGGCCGCGCACAATGAGCCGCCGCCGCCGCCGGGGCCGGGGCCGGGGCCGGGGCCGGGGGGGACCATTGTGCCGGCCGGGCCCCGCGGGGGGCGCCGCGAGGCGCGGGGAGCGGCCGCGGGCTGTTGGCGGGCGGGGGCCGGGCGGTTGGGGCGGCCGCTACCTTTGGCGAGCGCCACGGTGGAGTTGTCCGTGTCGATGGTGTAGAGGATGCCCTCGTAGCGGATCTGCGCCTTGGAGATGAGGCTGATCTTGCTGCCCAGGTACGGGGTGCCCGAGGAGCCGCTCATGGCGGCGGCCGCCCGGCTGGGCCTGGCCCGCTCGCCTCCGCGCGGTCGCCTCGCCGCCGCCCGCTCCTCCGCCTCGGCGCCTCCTCACCGCCGCCCGTCGGGCCTGCGCTGGGACCAGCGAGCGAGCGACGGCGCGCGGCCAGGGGCTCTGAGGAGAGCGGGGGGGAGGAGGGGCCGCAGCAGCCACATCCGGGGCCTCGCGCCGCCACGCCCCGCCCCTGCACGCTCGGCACCCATTGGCTCGCCGCGCCGGCCGCCCTTTAAATATGGCCGCGCCGCCGGTCTAGGGGCGGGCCCGCGCTCTACGCCTGCGCAACCAGCGCCGCGCGCCCGGGCGGGCTTTCCTCGGCTCGCCGCCCCCTCCTCAGCCAACTCCCGGCGGGCCCCGCGCGGGGTGGGAGCACGAGACCCGGCGGGCAGGCTCCGGGGTCGGGGGCGGGGAGGGGGGAAAGGGGTGGGGATTGGGAGGGGCGGGTCGCGCGTGCGCGTGCCGGGTGGGCGGGGCCGGCGAGCGGAGGGGCGGGGTTGGAGGGCGGAGCGCGTTGGCCTTGCCCTGGTCGCTGTTCAGCGGGCCTGCGAGTTGTGTCCCCCGAGCTAGGCATTCCCTCTGCGGAAAAGGCCGGGACAGCTTCCCCTGCTCCGGGTTGGAAGGCCGCCCGGCTGGGATGCGCCCCGCCCCTTCTCCAGCACCCGCGGGCCGGAGTCCCTGCTCCGGGGAGCGAAGGCGAGGGCAGGGGTCCCTAACCGCGACGTGGAGGCGCGGTTCGAGGTCCCCGTCCCGCGAGGTTCAGCCGGGGGCCTGGGAGTCCCTATCCCGTTGAGTGAAGGCGAGGTGCTGAGGCCGGGGTCCCTAAACACAGCGTGGAGGCGGGGCCCGGGAGTCCTTGTCCCGCCGAGCGAGGGCGGGGTTCGGGGGTCCCTGTCCCTGTCCGCGACGTGGAGGCGGTGTTCGGGGTCCGTGTCCCGGGAGGTGATTGCGGGGTTCAGGGTCCCTGCCCCGCGAGGTGCAGGCGGGGGGCCGGGAGTTCCTATCCCGCTGAGTAAAGATGAGGTGCTGGGGCCCGGGTCCCTAACCGCGGCAGGGAGGCGGGGGTCCGGGAGTCCCTGTCCCGCCGAGCGAAGGCGGGGCTCGGGGTCCCTGTCCCTCGAGGTAGCGGCGGAGGGCCAGGAGTCCCTACCCCGCTGAGAGAAGAGCGGGTGCCGGCGCTGGGGTCCCTAACGGCGGCGTGGAGGCGGGGGACCGAGAATCCCTGACCCCGGAGGCGAAGGCGGGCGCCGGGGTCCCTAACCGCGACGTGGAGGTGGGGCCTGCCCTCCGGGCGCAGGGTGCAGTGGCAGCTGCGGGTTACGAGCGCTTCCGGCGCGTCAGCCGCTAAATATAAAGTGCTGAGTGCATCTTCTCCTTTAATCCCTCCCCTCCCCCAAACCTGCGGTAGCTTCACGTCCCTTAAAATAAACCCCAGCCCGCCACCAGCGCCTCAAAGCCCCGCCTGGCCTGGCCCGTCCGGCTCCAGCCGGGAGGCGTCCTGGGCGTCCTGGGTGGGAGGCGGAGAGGGGCCTCCGACTGTCCCCGCGCGGCGCTTAGCTCCGTCGGCGACTGCGAGCGTGCACGTGTGCGCTTGCTTTTTGTCTGCCTCTCCCTCTTGACCCGGCCCATCAGATCCGGTACGGAAGAAACTTGGTGGATGGTGACCAGCATTTTATAAAACTGAAACTGGATAAAATAGAAAATATCAGAGCATCCCACATAGTGAGAGTATTGCTTTGTGTTTAGGTCACTACGGTGTGTGAATATTTACATGGGTATTGGGTCAAGATGTAAAATGGGGCGCCTGGGTGGCTCAGTTGTTGAGCGTCTGCCTTCGGCTCAGGTCATGATCCCACCTGGGATAGAGCCCTCCTGCATCGGGCTCCCTGCTCAGGGGAGAGTTTGCTTCTCCCTCTCCCACTCCCCCTGCTTGTGTTCCCTCTCTCGCTGTCTCTCTCTGTCAGATAAATAAAATCTTAAAAAAAAAAAAAAAAAGATGTAAAATGTGTTTCTTACCGTGAGTGCCAAACAAAAGAATGAAAGCCACTGCAGAGAATATAACCCACCGCCCAGACTAGGCATCTGACTCCCCTCCTCTTACAGAGGAGGACTGAGACCCCGCACAGGACAGAAGAGCTGCAGACGGGACAGGCTCCTGCCAGCACCCAACGATATCCAGGACCAGAACAGTAATGGCTTTGAGAAAAGGGAGCAGCAAGGAAGCAGAAAGCGTGGAAAGGTCTTCAGAATGCATCTGCCAAGACTTACCTGTATATTCTAGAATTGATTCTTGGCACATGGGAAAATTGCACTGGTGAGAACGGGGACAGCACAGCCATGGAATTAGTCTAGCCCTACGAGGAGAGATCTCTGGGGATGGGGGGTCCTGCTCCTAGAAGTGAGATGGGACTCTCCTTTAGCACAGCCTTTCCCAGGGGTGCACCTGTCCCAAGGAGCTGCCGCCCCAGGTCTCCTGATTGTCCCCCTTGTGCAGCCGAGGCATCCTTTCCCCCCACTTTCTGGGTCTAGAATATGACTTGCCCAACGTCACAGATTCTCTGCCTCCCAGATCCTGGTTTTGGAGCTACAAGCCTCTTTGTGTTGGAGGTGGGGATGCACTCTTTACTAACAGGAGTTGATTCTGTCTTGGGAAAAGAGAGCCGAAGCCTCAGGACCAGGATGGGGTGCAGTTCCAGAGACCTCTGAGAGCTTGCCAGACCCCTTGGTGTGCAGCTAGGTGGTTAGCCATGGGGCAAATGCCCAGGCAGGGCAGAGGCTAAAAATATACGGGGTGCACAGGTACAGGAATGCTGGCTCTACCATTCATTCCTTGGTGTCTTGCCCAAAGTGGAGGGCACTTGCAAAAGATTTGAAGAGGGGAGCAGTTGTGGCGGGAACTAAACTTGACTAGCGAGGTTTCCACTGCAAACGTGAGCCACTTACTAATCACCTACTGTGTGTATGGAGGAGAGTGAAGTGGTCCCTAATAAGGACGCGTGTGACAATGCGGACCCAGGATGCTGCCCTGGGTCCCATCCCAGTCTGGCAGGTTCTGCTGCAGGAGAGGCCCTTCACCACAGAATATCACTGTGGCTCTAATGTCCACCTGAGCAAGAATGAGCCTCACGACCCTTGGAATTGTAGGTTTTACTGCTTACCAGGAGCAGAACACAACAGATGAGTTGATTCAAAGAAATGTCAATAATAGCTGGTCCACAGAGCAAAAGTCAGGTCAGCAGCCTGAAGTGTGGGAGCATGCCAGCAGGGCAGGACCTCACCCATCCCCTGCTGTCCTGGCACAAGAGAAAGGTGCTCACCTCTTTGGGAGAGCCCTTGCCCATCTGCAGATAACAGGAGTGGGAGGGAGCTGAGGGATTACAGGTGAGCTGGGTGGGGGAGTCAGGGCTGGCTTTGAAGGTGTTGCTTACTAGGAGGTCTTGTAGGTGGGGAAAGGGGCACAGGGAGGGTGTGTTCAAGGCTCACCTGTGTGGCTGCGGAGTAAAGACAGGAAGGGGGGCCTTGTTGCTCTTGCATAGCTAGGAATACTCCCTGCGGTCTAACCCGATTTCTGTGAATCCTGTTGGAATCCATTTCCTCTGCCCAGGGCCCTGCATGGCTATTTTCCCTGGAGATTCCGTGAGCACCAATAGGTGAAGCCTCTTGCTCCCCCTCTCCCCTCACCTTCAAACCCTTTTCTGCTTGCATCTCACCCCTCCCCCCAGCTGAGCGCTCTGGTGTGAGGGAGCCAGGGCTGGAGAAGAGAGGTACAAGAAAGACATTGGGACCCAGACCCCAGGGAGCAGCTGCAGCTACCTTTCCCATCCCCTGCTCAGATGGGGGCTGAGCAGAGCTTATGGGAATCCCTGAGTGGAGCTGCTCCTCAAAAATGCTGGAGCCTGGCCGGTGCCTCCTGGCTGTGGTCTCTCTGAACATCTGCGACCTTGTCTTCCCAGCGTGAGCATGGGTCCAGAACCTACCTGAGAGGCTGAGGACTGAAGGCGCAGGGAGGCATTCGTGCCCGCGGGCGCCTCCTTCCCCCTGCCAGATGATGGGGCCACCGACAGTGCAGCCCCCACCCGAAGAGCCCTTCCACAGCTGGCCTCGCTCCGGTTCCCGCACAGTGCCCGGCTGGAGGGGAGCTCGCCGTTGTTTGTCCAGCTCAGCTTCCAGGGGCTGCGGGAGAGCCCAGGGCAGGGAGTCTGCCCAGGCTGCCTACCGGCCCCCTGGACCTTGCCTCCAGGCAGTTCCCGAGGGAAGAAGGGAAAGCATGATCAAGTCACCAAGGCCACGGCTGAGGGTGAGGAAATGGGATGTGGAAACAGGGAAGGGGAATATAAGGGCCCCGTGCACTGGGCAGTTCTTTTTTTTTTTTTTAAGATTTTATTTATTTATTTGACAGAGAGACAGCGAGAGAGGGAACACGAGCGGGGGGGTGGGAGAGGGAGAAGCAGGCTTCCCGCCGAGCAGGGAGCCCGATGCGGGACTCGATCCCAGGACCCTGAGATCATGACCTGAGCCGAAGGCAGATGCTTAACGACTGAGCCACCCAGGCACCCCTGCAGTACTTTTTATTTACCAATAAAAGATAGTTCTAAGGACCCAATGGTGGTGCGTGTGTCTGCTCCCCAGTAGATATGCACCGGAACGTTTTCACAGTGAAACTGGAAACTGCCAGGCCCGCTGGCAGGAGATTGGATCTCTGATGGCAGTGTGTTCCCTGCTGGAAGATTCTGGGGCACCCACCGTGGGCCGACCTCGGTTGCACAGGCAGGGCGGAGAGAGAGAGAGAGAGAGACCGAGAACACATGGCCCGATCCCCTGCACATACAGTCACAGGTGGGCTGTTAGGGTAGCTGTCCCTGGGGGCCTCGTGGCTTCAGAAGGAGCCTGGGTGGCTTCTGGGCACTAGCCATCAGTGCTGGTTATGCAGGTGCTTTACCTTGGTGGACCTCCATGGAGCTGACCACTCAGGACCCGAGCGCGTTTGTGCACGTGCCCATTATACTGGGAAAGAAAAGAAATACTGAGAGCCTTATTCCTGGGCAATCCACCACGCTTTTACTAAGTGCCCACAACAGCCAGTGTTTACTGAGCTGCCCCGTGCCGCTACCTGCCTGGCCATGCGTTCTCCCCTAACCCCGGCCCCAGTCCTGGGAGGTGTGATACTCCACCTGCAGAGCTGAGGCCACCAGCCTGGGGTAGGTGCTCAGCCGGGGCCACCCAGCCAGCGAGTAGCAGGGCTGGGATTCAGGTAAGCATCTCAGGCTGCTGACCTGAACACCCCGCCCTGAAGCACTCAGCCCTGGGGGGGGGGGGGGGGGGGCAGGGACCCGAAGCGACCTTTGTGCTGAAGGAGCTCACCCTTCAAAGGTACCCTGGATACAGACCACCCTTGAGGCTAGAGCTGGGCATTTGGGAAAGCAGTTACTTCTTCAGGGCTCTATCCTCTCTTGACCTCGTGCAAAGGATGCAGGACACATCCGAGGGAATTGCCATGGTAACGCACAGGCTTGCCCAGGAGCGTCCTAGGATGCCTGCTCCAAGTCCACCCCAAGGCTGGGCACTTGTCTTTGTGCCGGCAGGGGAGAGCTGCAGCCCCAAGAATGAAGTCATGTAAACAGAAGCCGTGGCAGAGGCTCCCACAGCCTGAACTCCCCTAACAGTGCTCCATGGGCCAACCTGAGGGCCCCTCGTATGCCTACGAAGACATTCTCACAGCCCAGGAAAAGGCTCCAGTGTGCGGGTGAAAAGCATTCTGCCAGGCACGTGGGCATTCTTCCTTGTGTTAAGATCTGTGGTGGTAACACCATAAACCGTCTCTCTTGTTGCGGCCCTAGCCATCCTGAATGCAGAGCTTGGGTTCACGCACTGGGTGGCAAGAAACAACGTGCATGAAGAGCCCGTAGGGACCCAGGCAGACAAAGGGCAGCACGTTGGCCGGGCTGGGGAGAGAGCTGTAGCCCAGGAAGTCAGCTTCTCAGGACAGAGTACCAGCAGGTACCAGCAGCTAGACAGGGAGGCCGACGCCTGAAACACATCTCCCATGGCTCATCTCGTTCCTCCAGCCAATCGCAGACATACGTGAACACATATTTGTCTTTCTCAAGCGCTGGGACACACGAGAGCCACATTTGCCTTGGGACTCTTGCTGGGTTTGGGGGCAGAGTGTTTTCACAAATGGCATTCAGCACCACTGCTGAAGCTCAGGGCGGGCACTCTGGAATCTGATCTCTGCACCCCAGGCTGGCCTGGAATTCATGCCTTATTCATTTATTTATTTGTTTAAAAATGCCATAGAGATATACCTAATACTCGCCCATTTAAAATGTACAGTCCAGTGGCGTTTAGCAAACGTACTGGAGGTGTGTAGCCATCACCACACAATTCGGGATCGTTTCATCCCCACGCACAAGACCTCTACCTGCTATAGTCACTCCACACATTCCTCTCCCCTGAGACCCAGGCAGCTACTTCGGGTTTGCCTGTCCTAGAAATTTCACTTCAGTGAAATCCTACCCTACGTGACGGGCTTCTTTCACTGGGCATAACTTAGAGATTCTCTCAAGTCTTATCCACGTTGCGGCGTTTGTCACTACTTCCTTCTTACGGCTGAGAAACACTCCACCGCCCAAAGCCACGCACATCTTCACCAGCTGATGGACATTTGGGTTGTTTCTGCTTCTCGGTGACTATGACTAACGCTGCTGTGGACAT